CCACTTAAATTTTAGGGACATAAAATGTTCACATTAATTTGAAGAATCATCCAAAATTTATTTGGTTCGGAATTAATAGATTTATCTAAAATGCTTTAAAAAATTTAGAATTAACCTGAGTTTTTTATGCATATAATTTCTCATGTTTCATGAGATAAAATTATTTTATGCATACACAAAAAGTGGGTGGGATCCACTAAGGAAAAGAGAAAAAAAAATCTTTGTAAATATTTATCTTGGTTTAGTTCTCTTGGCTCTCCTCTCCTTAATTGACTACATAATTTGTGATAATTAACTTTTAATCAAATTTAAAAAAACACAAAAATGTTTTTTTTTTTGTAGAATAAAAAAAAAAACACAAAAAAATGTTAATAGATAGTGATTAAGTTGTAAATGAAATTTGAAGGAGTATATGATTATTTACTTGCTAAGTTTTTCTCTTTTGATGATAGAAAGTTTGGAGTGAAGAGAGGCTATCCAATATCCATGAGCAACTCCTGACGATGCATAAACCTGTGCCCGCCAAGCATAATCAACACTACCCTACTAACTTTCAAGTGTTTTCAGCTTAACCTTAGTGGGTCTTTCATGACAGTGATCTGCAACAAAAATTATTATTTCTTACTTTAACATTATTTTAGTATTATAAATAGGTGATGCACATTAAATTAATTAAAGGATATAAAATAAAAATTATAATACTTCTAAATCCTACGCTGAAGAAATTATTCCTTATTAAAGGTTTTAATCAAGAGATAGAAGCAGTGAAGAACGCGCTACAAAAAGAAGAGTGATTGAGAGAAAAGATCAATGGGAAGAATTGCTCTTCAATTGCAACCTGGGACTGGAACAAGGCGAATTGATACAGTTGCTTTTTTTTTTTTTTTGGTAAGCGAGACAGTTGCTTTATTAATTGAAAACATATACTTCAAACCAACAACTAACTTTTATAGGAAATTGTTTTTGCTTTTACTGTATAAATTTTTTTCTGCCACACTCACATAAAATATCTCATTATATTTCACTAATTTTTTTTTTCTATTTTCATTTTAATAGGACCACAAACTTTTATGTTAGTGATAGAAAAAAAAATCTATAGTAAAAACTGAAATAGTTTTCCCAATTTCTATTTTTATGTTCATGGTATTATAACGAGATTTTGCTTTGTTACCAAATTAATGTTAAACGAAGCTCAACATCAAAGGAGATGAAAAACAGTGAAAATTCATGTAATATATAATCGATAGCTCAGGCATACAAAAGGTTGGGCAAACTAATTATTATACTATGGTGTTTTCCTTCTTTTACGTGACACAAGCAATTTTCCTACACAAACGTAAAAGTGAGCCCATCAATTCTTTTTTTTTTTTTTTTAAAAAATAATGGACCTCACAATTGATTGTCTCTATGACATAACCTAAGAATTTTCCTACAACATAATATATATTAGTTTTTTCCTTATACTATTAATGACGAGAACTCTCCCTTTTACCACACTAACATCAAATGAAGTTTAATATTAAAGAAAATTAGAGGTGTACACAGTTTAGTCTGATTTTCTTTGTGGAACTGAACTGGAAAAAACAATTCAAGTAGGAGAATTGAATTAGTTTATTTTTTTCAAATCAGTTCAGTTCATAACCAGTTCAATTCAGTTAAGAACTGATTATAAAATAGTTTTGAATTAGTTCAGATTGGTTTTTAAAATCAGTTCTGAACACAAATGAATAGTATGAAAAAACTGAACGAAAAAAGGATAAAAAAAATTAAAAATTATACTAGAAATTAAAAAAAAAAAGCAATTAATAATTAAAAAATAAAGATAAATAAGAGAAAAAAGTGAAAAGTGAAAATAAAAACTAAATGAATAAAGAAATAAAATCAAAGAAAAAAGAAGACAATTAATAAGAGAAGAGAAACAGAGAGAAAAAAGAAAAAATAATTAAAAAAAGAAAAAGAAAATAAAACTAATTCGTTCATGAACTGATTTTTAAAAACAAATTCTTTTAAGTACAGTGCAATTTAGTTCACAGTATAATTCAGTTCTTTTCGTGTTTTTTTCACACCGTGTTTTTTTCACACCCTTACACCCGTTGTTAGCATTATGTCTTGAACACGCAGACCAGCACAGGACCAACACATGTTGTTAGGGACGTGCACAGTTCTATTCGATTCAGTTTTCTTTGAATACAATCCAGTTCTTTCTTTCTTTTTTTCGAACCAATTCTGAACTAGTTTTTAAAACTAGAAAAAATCAATTATGAATCCAAACGAAAAGTATGAAAAGATTGATAAAACAAATGATAAAAGCAATAAAAAATATAAATATAAATGATACTATAAATTTATTTTCAAAAAAGCAATAAACAATTAAAAAGAAAAAGGAAATAAAATAAAGTAAATACAAAGATAAATAAGAGAAAAAATAAAAAGTAAAAAAAATCTAAAGAAATAAAGTAATAAAAAAAGACACTAAATAAATACATAAGAGAAAAAGAAAAAAATTAATTCGATTCATGAACAAGTTTTTAAAACCAGTTCGATTCATGAATTGCTTTTTGAAAAAACAATTCAATTCATGAACTAATTTTAAAAAAGTAATTATTTTTGTAACAAAAAAAAAAATAGTTCTTTTAAGTTTAGTTAAATTCTTTTGGTTCTTTTGCACACCCTAAAAAAAATAGAAAAACAATCGAAATTCAAGTAACATATATAATCCATTGCTCAAACTTGCTAAAGGCATTAATTAGTTTCAACGTTTAAAAAGCTGATTTTAGTTTAATATACTCATTTACATATTTCAACATGTACTATTTGTGTAACAACCCTAAATTTCTAACAATTTTTTTTTAAAAAAAAACAATATTCTTATAATAGAGAAATTGCCAAAAAAAAATTACATTTAATTATTTATTAGGATCTCATAAATATTGCGGAAGCTAAACTAAAGTCAATTTGGAAAAAAGTTACCTCTGCACCTGTATCAAGGACAAGTGTAAGGCTAACTTTATCATACTAAAATATATTCAATGTAAATATTTAAAACTTCAAAGTGTGAAACCAGAGTATAAGGTTTAACTTAAATGTTTTTTATATAATTATCAAATCTTTTAAGCCTATATTGAAATGTACGATACTTACCATCATTACCCACTGCTAGCCCCAACCTTCGAAACCTGATTTAATGGGGGTCTCTGCTCCCCCGAAGGATCACCACAACACACAAACACAAACATAAATAGTCAGCAAAAAGCTAGTAATCCCATTCCAAAACATAATAAGGATAATCATAACTAAATCAATCATAATAAACAACTCAAGCATCAATCAAGATATTCCATTAAGAATAGTCATAACTCAATTAATCATTATAATCAACTCAAGTGTCAATCAAGATATTTCATGAAGGATAGTCATAACTCAATTAATCATCATAATCAACTCAATCACCAATCAAGGTATTTCATTTTCATTAATTAATTTTATTTAGTTTCATTTAGTGGGAAGAGAACCATGATAGACCCAGAAAACTTTATTGGTGTAACATCTCGAGCGCTGACGAGGGCGGGGAGTGATCACCAGTGCGAAAGGGCATGGACAAGGAGCGGCTTCTGGCAGGCTTCCAGCGACGGGGGTACATGAATGAATCGAATCAACACCCAAAAGAGAGAGATTCCAGAGACTGTGCTGGTATAGGATGGTGCAGTTGGGATAGCTTATAAGAATTAATTGGTACTACCTATACTAACAAGATACATCTACTTTTCGGTAGCCCGGAACGGATGAACTCCATAGTTAAGCGTGCTTGACTTGGGACAATTCTGGGATGGGTGACCTCCTGGAAAGTTTTCCCGGGAAGTGTGCGAGTGAGGACAAAGCACGCTGAAAAGTCTCGAGTTAGTGTGTGGGGACAGTCGATGATCCTTGCAAGTTGCCAGGCGTTACAAGTGGTATCGGAGCAGGGCCTCTCTTCCAGTACGGTGTGGTTCGAGGATGAACCAGGCGGAAGCTGGTGGGCATGTAACATCCCGGACGCTGACGAGGGCGGGGAGTGATCGCCGGTGTGAAAGGGCATGGACAAGGAGCGGCTCCTGGCAGGCTTCCAGCGACAGGGGTACATGAATGAATCGAATCAACACCCAAAAGAGAGAAATTCCAGAGACTGTGCTGGTATGGGACGGTACAGTTGGGAATAACTTATAAGAATTAATTGGTACTACCTATACTAACAAGATGCATTTACTTTTTGGTAACCCGGAACAGAAGAACTCCATAGTTAAGCGTGCTTAACTTGGGGCAATTCTGGGATGGGTGACCTCCTGGGAAGTTTTCCCGGGAAGTGTGCGAGTGAGGATAAAGCACGCTGAAAAGTCTCGTGTTAGTGTGTGGGGACAATCGTTGATCCTTGCAAGTTGTCAGGCGTTACAATTGGCAACCTACCCACGTGACTCGAAAAACCGTGTTCCTAGCCACGTATAATCAAATTTGGCCATAATCAAAACATCAAATCCTAGTGCGCACACATCTCCACCAAAGTTGTTATTATTACCCCGAAAAATCCTGTTTCAAGGTACCACTTTTGGGAAGAACAGATAACATCATTTTCACGTCATATAACATCAAAGACATAAAGCTCAAAGGTTGTGTTCATCACATTTAGGAGTTACCATCCTAAAAGCTATTTTTTCACTATTATTTTATCACAAACAAATTAGGAAAATCTAATCTTTTCACTATTAGAATAAAAGCTTGCTGGAAACTGAATATTCATATTGTATTGATTCAAGTGAAAATGAAATACAAGAGGCCATCTATATATCAGCCATAGCAAGAAGAAAACGTAACAGAAAAAGGGTGTGACCACGTGCTCACCCGAGGTGCAAAACAGAAGCAGCTCAAATAAAGCGTACACCTCAGCAGCATGTTAGTTACAACCAAAAATAGCAAATAATAAAGAAAATAATATCTAATAGGCCCGCTCAAGGTGGAGAGTATATATTTCAGACTCCCAGCTTGGACAACAAAGCAGAAAACTGAGAAGGCAGTAATGCTATGGTAAGAAGATCAGCCAGTTGCTTAGAAGAGGGAATTGGAAAAGTCTTTAGATGCCCTTTGAGAATATGCTCATGTACAATATGACAGTCAATCTCAATGTGTTTAGTGCGTTCATGGAACACAAGATGGGATGCTAAGTGTAATGCAGACTGATTATCACAGAAAAGATGAGCAGGTCCATGATGAAAAAAACATAGGTCTTTAAACAGAGAAAAGAGCCACAACAGTTCACATGTAACATAAGCCATAGCACGGTATTCAGCTTCAGTGGATGATCTTGATACTGTTTGTTGCTTCTTAGATTTCCATGAAATTAGAGAATCACCAATGAAAACACAAAATCCAGAAATGGAACGACGACTATCCGGACATGCAGCCCAGTCAGCATCACAGAATGCATTCAATTGAAGAGAAGTAATGGAGGAATAAAACAACCTTTGTCCAATTGTGCTTTTGACATAACCAAGGAGACGGTGGACAGCTTGAAGATGGGGTTCACGAGGAGCAGCCATAAATTGACTAAGAAGATTAACAGTGTAAGAGAGATTGGGCCGAGTAATAGTGAGGTAGATGAGACGACTAATAAGACGTCTGTACACAGAGGGGTCAGGAAGAAAATCACCAGAATCAGATGAGAGTTTGAGACCAACCTCAAGAGAAGTAGAACGAGATTTACATCCCATATGACCAAAATAGTTGAGTATTTGTAAAGCATACTGTCGTTGGCAAATAAAAATACATCTTCTGCTACGCGCAACCTCGAGGCCCAAAAAATACTTTAAATCAGCAAGATTTTTCAACTTAAATTTGTTGTGTAAAAGATCAGTAAGGTGCTGCACTTCCGAAGAATTATTAGAAGCAATGATGATATCATCCACATAAACTAAAATTGCAATGAAGGCATTAGATGAGGAACAAACAAATAAAGAATAATCAGAGTAAGATTGAGAAAAACCCAGATTCAATAGTAGTAGAAAATTTAGCAAACCACTGCCTTGAAGCTTGACGAAGGCCATATAAAGATTTGTGTAGCTTGCAAACATCATTCGGAGGCAAAACAGAATGTGGAGGAGAATATCCAATAGGCAAAGTCATATAAACCTCCTCAAATAAGTCCCCATGGAGGAATGCATTATTGACATCTAATCGGGTAAGAGACCAATTATTGACAGTAGCCAAAGCAAGAAGAACACGAACAATTGTAATTTTAGCCACCGGTGAAAAAGTTTCCAGAAAATCAATCCCTTCCTGTTGACTGAAACCCTTAGCAACTAAACGGGCCTTTTAGCGCTCAAGGGAGCCATACGAATTGTATTTGACCTTGTAAATCCACCGACAACCAACTGCCTTCTTCCCTGGAGGAAGAGAAACAACAGACCATGTAGATTTGGTTTCAAGTACTGAAATCTCAGCAGACATAGCAGCCTGCCATTCCGGTAATTGGGATGCTTGAGAAAAGGTAGTAGGCTCAAAATGGAAAGATATCGAAATTATAAAGGCAGCATGAGAGGAGGATAAACGATCATAACAAAGAAAATTAGATAAGGGATGATGGGTGGAAGATGAACAAACAAAGTCAGAGAGATGAGCTGGAGGTTGCCTAACTCGTGAGGATCTGGAAACTGAAGGAGATGGGGAATCGGGTAAAGGAGTGGGATTTGTAAAAGTGGATGGTAGGTGAGAAAATTTAGTGGGAAATGAGGAAGGTGTGTGAGTCTAAAATAAATGGGAGGCACTTTTATTTCGCCAAAGGACAAATAGAACAATGGTGATCATCATGCAAGCAATCAGTAAAACCCAAAATAGTTTTCATTGAATTTAAAACGAAATGGGAAAGGTGACCCAATCTGGAATGCCAGAGAACATTATTTTTAACAGAAATCGAAAAACATAAGGGATGGGGAACACAATCAGTGGGAAAAAGATTGTTGGTGTCCAAAATATAAAGGTCACCAAGGCGTTTAGCAATCCCAATCATCCTTCCCGAAGCATGGTCCCGAATAAAACAAAGAGAAGAAGAAAAGTTAGCTAGGATAGGAGAATCACGAGTCAAAGCACTGATGGAGAGAAGGTTGAAAAAGAAAGAGGGAACGTATAAAACGTTAGAAAGAATAAGGGAGTCAGAAATCAAAATGGGTCCTACAGAAGAAACAACAGCTGAGGAACCATTAGGAAAGGAGACGGAAGAAGCAGAAGAGGAAGAAGAAAGAAATAGATCAAGTTTGACACAAACATGGTGCGTAGCACCAGTGTCTAAAACCCAGTAAGAAGGTGGAAAAGAGAGGGGATGTTTACCATTGAGACTAGCCACCGAAGGAGATGAATCGGTGACAGAATAGGTGGTAGACGGAAGAGACAATGACGGAGTAGACGATGCAGAACTCTGGTGGAGGAGCAAAATCAGTTGGTTGTATTGGGATGGGGTGAAGGCAAGGGGAAAATCTGAGGTAGGAAGATTAGGGTTCAGATTAGTGATAGATTTGGGGAAAGGGGGAAGATGGTGAAGGGAGGGGAGGCTGATACAATAGAATGGGCTTGGGCCGTGGGTTGGACTGGCTTAGTAAATGGGTTGGACTTCTGGACTCTAGGTGTGTAGCCTGGTGGATACCCATTAAGTTTGAAACACTTTTCACGAGTGTGGCTTGAAAGATGGCAATAGGTGCAAATTGGACGGCGGCGTTGGGTGGCAGCCACCGTAGGCGGTGAAGATGAAACAACCGGAGAGGAGATGTGTACAAAACCAAGGAGAGGTGAGTCCGGAATAGCAGGTGACGGCAAGGAAAGTGACAATTGGCGCTGACGTTTCTCTTGAAGAATCATTGAGAAGACCTTAGCAAGCGGCGATATGGGATCTATCATCAAGGTCTCAGCACGCGAAGCAGAGAAAGAGTCATGAGGCCAATTAGAAATTGGAGAACATGATCCTGCTCACGATGAGAATGAATGTGACGAAGAGCTCCACATGTACAGGAAGGCAGGGGAGGATAATCGAGTAATTCATCCCAAAGTGATTTTAGTTTAGTGTAATAACCATTGACGTCCAGAGAACCTTGACACAGAGATGAAATCTGCTGCTTAAGTTGGAAGATGTGAGGACCATTTGCTTGAGAGAATCATGTTTTCATATCTGCCCAAGCTTCATAGCGTTTGTGAAATAGTGGAGGCTATCAGCAATCTCCTTGGTGACAGAATTCAGAAGCCAGGAAAAAACCATGGAATTACAACGATTCCAAGCAGAGAATAAAAGTTCAGTGGAAGGAGGACGGAGGAGAGTACCATCGATAAACACTAACTTGTTTTTGGCTGTCAAGGCAAGCAACATTGCACGATTCCATGAATTGAAGTTAGAATCGAAAAGGGGTGTGGAAACCAAAACAAGATCATGATGGTCACTGTTATGCAAGTAATATGGACTAGAGGAATCATCCATGGAGATGGATGAACCTGAATGCGCAGAGGTTGCATCAACTTGAGGCGGGTGATTATTGCCGCGAGCTATTAAATCAAGAACAAGGACACTTCTGATACCATATTAGAATAAAAGCTTGTTGGAAACTTAATATTCATAATGTATTGATTCAAGTGAAAATGAAATACAAGAGGCCATCTATATATCAGCCATAGCAAGAAGAAAACGTAACAAAAAAAAGGTGTGACCACGTGCTCACCCAAGGTGCAAAACAGAAGCAGCTCAAATAAAGTGTACACCTCAGCAGCAAGTTAGTTACAACCAAAAATAGCAAATAATAAAGAAAATAATATCTAAAAGTGTTCATCACATTTAGGAGTTACCATCCTAAAAGCTATTTTTTCACTATTATTTTATCACAAACAAATTAGGAAAATCCAATCTTTTCACAAATCAAATACTTGAAAATTTTGTTAAAGAATATTATAATTTGCACATCAGTTATCCAACATATATCAAAGGTAAGATTTATATCACACATCATCAATTACCCAACACCTATCATAGGTAAGATTCATACCGCACATAATCAATTGTCCAAAGGTAAGATTTATATCATACATAATCAATTAACACCTCAACTAATGATCATTAAGGAATTAGGATTATACTTAAGAAAATAATTATACCTGAACTTGTGATTTCCCAGAGATTAAGATTAAACCCAAAAAAATTTCCAACAATATTCCTATATAATTAACCTATGATTAACTAAGGGTTAGGCTTACGTATAACAAATTCCTATAAAAGTAACATATAATACCCTAAGGATCAAGATTACATATAACAAATTTAATATAAAATTATCCTATGATGCCCTAAGGATCAGGATTCCATATAACAAATTTCAAATAAAACTAACCTATAATTCCCTAAGGATCGGGATCACATATAACAAATTTATATATAGCTAACCTACAATTACCTAAAGATTGAGATTACATATAACAAATTTCAAAAAATACTAACCTATGACATGCTAAGGATTAGGATTGTGCTATCAAAATTAATATAAAACTAACCTATGACTCTCTAAGGATTAGGATTATCTGAATTCCGTGTTTAAAGGCTTCATTAGGAGAACAATGATTCATAAGAAAAAGCATAATTGGTAGCTAAGGGAAAAAATAGTTGCAACAAAATTTGAAAGGGTTGGGAGGATAGTTGTAAAACTCGGCCCGACCCGGTCGGGTCAACCCGGAACCTGGCGAACCGGTCATTGGACCGATTCGGGTCAAACATTGGACCGATCATGCATCGACCCGGTCAAACCTAGTCAAAACCGGTGACCCGGTTGGGTCATGTATTTTTTTTAAAATAAAACAAAAACAAAAAACCAAAATTGTTTCATCTTGTCAAAAAAAATGTAGAACTCATTTTAATTTTTTTTTGTAATTTTATTTGCTAGTATACTCTTCTACAATGACCTCAAATTTCAGCTTCCAATACTGAAGCAATAATAAATTAAGAGAATGTGATATATGTCATTTTTTATGTAGTTGAATTTAAAAAATATGAATTCAATATCATTGAGTGGTATATTTATGGAGATTCTAAGTTGCAACTTAAATTAACATAATAATAGCATGCAATTTTATTTATTTATGCTTCTTGTTTTTGAGCTTATTTAATGAACCTTGTTTAATTTATTTTAGATATGAAGAATATACCTGAATTTATACGTTCATATTTATATATATTTATATATATCCGGGTCAACCGATCCGACCAGTGATCCAGTACTCCGACCGGGTCGATGCTCAGGTCGGGTTTAATAACACTGGTTGGGAGAAGGGAAGAAAAGGAGAAGAAGATAAGGGAAATGGAGAGATGCAAGGGAATCAGAAAGAATATAAAACGATTTTATTTGTTAGATTAAATTCCTATTTATAATTGAGGTTTTGTAGCAGACAATAAATGTTGAACGTTAAAACTAAAGTCACCACCTATTAATGTTACAATTTTATAATCAAACACTCAAACATTAGTAACAATTAATGGTAACCAATCTCAGCATATAAATATATCAATATCTATTCCAACAACACCACATACATATTACAATATACACCATCATTATTATTATTATTATTATTATTATTAAAAAAAATCCGGGTTATTACAATTTGACTCATAATAGTTGTTGCTTCTCAATTAAGATTTAACATTTCAACTAGTGTATGGTGTATGAAAGGAAAAGTGGTTTTATACCTGCTGCTGCTACTTATTAGCAGTGATCAAACAGAAATTTTCATCTGCGAATTTCAGTATTCGTTCTAAATCACTGTAGATAATCAAAATTAACTAGCACATAAATAATATATTCTTTGAGAACAAGCTTATTTTCCAAGTAGTTCATTAAACTTTCAATTGAACTACAATATAGTATCTAAATAAATTTTATTAATGCAAAGCACATTTATTAAATCAGTGCTGCCAAGTGCCAACGTTAGGTATTTGTAACAAAATGGTACGTTAGTCCTCTAAATCAAACATCCATAGTTAGCCATTACTTTTACTCTATTATATTGGTTTAAGTTTGTTCAAACAAAGCATCTCAAGGTGACAAGCCCTAAAATTGCTTTGCAGCTAGGCTGGGCATTCACATTAACGATGTGAGGCAAACGTTTTTCAGAAACGATGTTATTTGAATATTACAAAAATTAAGTACCTTTTACCCCCTTACAGGCTACAGCAGTTGATAACTAGTGTTTCGCCCACTATTGTTTATTGATAACTAACACACATAAAAAAGAACACCAAAAAAAAAAAACAAAATTCGGAAGTTACCAACACAAGTAACACTACTTGTATTGTAAACAAAACATTAGTCACTGCCAAACATGTACGTTCCAAAACAACATTTATTTATTTTTGTTTTGCAATTTTTTGCGGAAGTCACACTGCATATTAGCAGTAATCCAACATAACCAAGACAATGGTTAAGAAACCCAATTTAACAAAACAATCAGTGCACCATTGAGATTAAGTATCAAAGGAGAAACAATACATTGGTTCACACAAAAACAAAGAAAAAAAAGGGTCTCAAACAGAAAAAATAGAGTCCGCTGGAAAAGCAGCCCCAGTACAAATTGCAATAAAAATTTAGAGACAAGATAGTCACTATAACTTCGATTGCTCCAGGTAACATACGAAGTAGTTCATAATTACATTATAAATGCTTACACCCATGAACTTGGATGATCTATAGAAAATAGTTATTTACATTTTATTCTTGGATTCTCACCTGAATTACACAATACAACATTTGACCACCAGCCCCTTTTGATCAATCCTGGCTTCTTCGCTTCCTAGAGTCATATATGATCATCATTCAGTATCCTCAAACCATAAAAGATTCATTAGAAAAATATAAACATTATATCATGAACCAACTATTCCAAAAATTTAAGCTATTTGGTAGAAGTACATGAATCATTTTATATTTAACACACCCCCTCGTCCAGGAACCTTTTGAATTTAAAGCATGAATAAAGCAACCCTACCTTGCGGTTAAATTTATCTTATATTCAGAAGAATGAGAGCAATAAGAATTGAATTCTAGAATATATGATCATAGAGGCTCTAATACTATATCATGAACCAACTATTGCAAAAGCTTAAGCTATTAGGTGAAAGCACACGAATACTTTTATATACACCTTCAAACAACCAATCTACAAAGATAAGCTAGTTCTGACATGTTTATCAAAGTTGCTTACAATCTAGAAAGACTAGGCTAAAAGAAAAAGAAAAATAAAGGAAGAAAAAAAAGGGCAAACCCCGATGCACAAGGCTCCCCGACTTGTGAGGGTAGAGGCGAGGGTCGATTGTATATAATCTTACCTTTGCATTTTTGCAAAGAGGCTATTTCCCATATTCGAACTCGTGAATCGTGACCTTCTACCTATAAGAAGCAATCTTACCGCTGCTCGAAGACTCGCCCTCAAACGGAAGGAAAGAGAAATTTAAGGGGAAAATGGTGAAAAAATAGATCCAAGGGAGAGTAAGTTGCTCCATTTCAAGGTTAGGGCATGCTTCAAGCATCAACAAGGGCTTATAGTGGTACTTACAAAAGCACTACCAGTGTAACGAAATTAAAAAAAAATTAGCCCCCAACGTTGACACTCTTTTCAATTAAACCCTCAGCTTTGAAATTAGTAAATTTGATCCAAGGTTTTGAATTCTATTTAATTTGACTACAATTGCAGAAGAAAATGTTATAATTCTTCGTCACTTTTTCTGTTAATACACTTAAGATTGAATAATTGTATATTACAACTGTACAAGAGTTCTCTATTTAAAAAAACTAAATAACCTAATGGGCTAAACCCACAAGATGTGGGACTATTCTATATATATACACTGAACTATTCTAACATTCTCTCTCAAGTTGGTGCGTATATATTGTAAGCATTAGCTTGTTACAAATGTATTCAACCTGAGGACCTCTAAGAGCTTTAGTGAAGACATCCGCGAGTTGATCATTGGAGTTAACAAATGTTGTTTTGATTTCTCCTGACTGAATATTTTCTTGAATGAAGTGACAATCGATCTCTATATGTTTGGTTCTCTCATGAAATATAGGATTAGATGATATATACAGCGTAGCTTGATTGTCACTAATGAGTGTCGTGGGCTGTTTTTGTTCACAAAGATGGAGCTCCTAAATCAACTGCTTTAACCAGATTAGCTCACAGGTAGCAACTCCCATTGCATGGTACTCGGCCTCTGCACTAGACCGGGCAACAACAATTTCTTTCTTACTTTTCCAAGAAATCAGGTTTCCTCCAAAAAAGACACAATAGCCTGAAGTAGAGCGCCTATCTGAAGGTGATCATGCCCAATCGGCGTCTAAATAACTGCAAATTTCTATATTTCCCTTATCTGAATATAATAAGCCTTTCCTTAGTGCTCCTTTGATGTACCGGAGGATCCTCACAGCAGCATCCCAATGAGAATCACAAGGAGAGTCAAGGAACTGACTAGCCATACTAACAGCAAAAGAAATGTCTGGCCTAGTCACAGTGGGATAATTGAACTTCCCAATCAACCTCCAATAACGTCCAGGATCAGATAATGGCTCTTCCTGTCCGGACAATAATTTGATAGTCAGATCCATAGGTGTATCAACTAGCTTACACCCCAATATACCAGTCTCCTCTAGGATATATAAGGCATATTTCCTTTGATAGATAGAAATACCCTATCTAAACTGTGGTACCTCAATCCCTAGGAAGTAACGAAGCTTACCAAGATCCTTTGTTTGAAATTGACTGAATAAATATTGTTTTAACTGGCAAATCCCAGCTTGATCACTCCCAATTATAATAATGTCATCGATATAGACTAACAGATAAATGCACTTATCAAGAGATGTGAACCTATAAAACACAGAATGGTCGACCTTACTGTGGATTAAGCCAAAAGTCTGAATAGCAGAATTGAAATGGCTGAACCATGCCCGAGGAGATTGCTTGAGGACATATAAGGACTTACGAAGTCTACACCCCATCCCAGACTCCCCTTGAGCAACAAACCCATGTGGTTGCTCCATGTAAACCTCTTCTTGTAAATCACCAGGAAGAAAAGAATTTTTAATGTCTAGTTGAAGGAGTGGCCAGTGACGAACAACAGCGAGGGCAAGAAACATGCGGAAAGACGTCATCTTAGCGACAAGAGAGAATGTGTCACTATAGTCTATGCCGAAGATCTGAGTAAAACCCTTAGCGACTAAGCGCGCCTTGAGACGGCCAACATGGCCATCAGGTCTAACCTTGACAGTAAAGACCCATCGATAACCAACAATAGACTTATCCGGAGGAGCAGGAACAAGATCCCAAGTGCCATTGGAATAAAGAGCAGTCATCTCATCAAGTATCGCTTGGTGTCACCCTGGATGAGAAAGTGCTTCACCTGTGGTCTTAGGAATGGAAACAGAAGAAAGACTAGAAACAAAGGTGTAAAGAGAAATAAAAAGACGGACATAGCTTAAAAAAGTATAAAAAGGATAAGGGTTACGAGTAGTATGTATATCTTTTCTTTGGGAAATGGGAAGAGCCTCTAGTGCAAGATTCGGAGGGGAAGAGATAACAGGAGAAGGCAATGAGTCACCCAGGATCAAGTCTGCAGGAGGCACTTCCTGACGACGTTGATAGGTGAGAAAGGGACGGTTCACAGGGATGGAGACAAGGGGTCTTTCCATTGAAAGAAAGTCACCTGCAGCTGCTAAAGACAAGTCAAGAAAAGGAACAGAAAGAACTTTATCAATCTGTGGCAAATGAGATGGGATAGAATAAAAGGGTTGTTGATCAAGGAAACTGACATCAGTGGAAACAATATAACGCTTAAGATCAGGAGAATAACAACGATAACCCTTTTGAATACGAGAATAACCAAGAAAGATACACTTAAAGGCTTTGGATGTTAATTTGTCCTTACTAGGAGTGAAATCATGAACAAAACAAGTACAACCAAAGACATGCGAAGATAGAGGATAAAGAGGAGCATCTGGAAACAATAGATTATGGGGAATGTCATTGTTGAGCACAGATGAAGGCATGCGATTGATGAGAAAACAAAAGGCAAGTAGGGCATCTGCCCAGAAGTGAAGAGGAACCTGCATATGAATAAGAAGGGTAAAGCAGTTTCAATGAGATGTCTGTTTTCGCGTTCAGCCACCCCATTTTGTTGAGTGTGAGGACAAGTGATTTGATGTAAAGTACCTTGTATAGCCAAGAAATTAGAAAAGTCAAAAGAAACATATTCCTTAGCATTATCACTACGTAGAATACGAATAGAAACACCAAATTGAGTATGAATCTCAGCAGAAAACTTTTTATAAATGGAAAATAACAGAACGATTTTTCATTAAATAAATCCAGGTACAACGGGAATAATCAACAATAAAAGTAACAAAATACCAAAAATCTAAAATAGACACAGTACGACTTGAACCCCAAATATTTGAATGAATAAGAGAGAAAGGAGCATTAGCTCATTTATTAACTTGACTGGTAAAGGAGGAGTGTGTGTGCTTCCCTTACGGACACAACAAACAATCTAAAGACTGAAGACTAGATAAAAGAGGAACCATCTTCTGCAATTTTGAAAGACTTGGATGACCGAGGCGACTGTGGATAAGTTGTGGAGATTGTGTGAGAGAGCATGCCACTGAAGGACGAGGCACAACCAGATAGTGAAGCCCCCGTAACTCACGGTCCACTCCAATCGTCTTCTCTGTACCCGGATCCTGCATAGAAACAGAATGGTTAGAGAAAGTAATGGTGCAAGAGATGGAGTGGACCAATTTACTAACAGAAAATAAGGTATAAGGGATGCCAGGAATGTAATAGACAGATGTCAAGGTCAAGGTAGAGGTCGGACGAGCTTGCCCAATCCCACGAACTGGGGCTTTAGTTCTATCAGGAAGGGTAAAGGAAGGTAACTGATCAGAATAAATAAGAGATGTAAAGAGTTCCTTATTATCACAGAGATGATCGGTAGCACCTGAGTCAAATATCCAAGGACCAAGCGATATAGAATGAGAGACACAAGGAATGAGATTACCAGTATCTGGAGCGGAGGGCTGAGACTGAGGAGAAGCCTTCCTGAGAAGAGTCTGGAGTGCAGCATAGTCCGCAGGTGAGAGAGAGACTGAACCAGATGATGCAGTGTCTGACTGAGCTATATTCGCAACAAGAGAAGGTCGCAGGTGAGGATACTTAATATAACAACGATCTTCAAAATGACCAAGTCGCTGACAATAATTACAACGAGGTCTTTGACCACGTCCACCGGGGCCCCAGCCACGACCACGTCCACTGTTCGTGCGAGTGTTAGTACGGGAAACAAGAGCAGTGGAATCAACAACAGAAGATGAATCAGGAGCAGGAATTGGTTTCTCATTGAGATTCAAGAGGCGTTGGTAGGTCAGTGATAGACTAGGATCCCAACTAGTCAAGATAGTGTCACGGACAACATCATACTCCTTAGGAAGACCAGAAAGAGTGGTAACCATAAAGAGACGTTCCACCTGTTTTCGATATGCAGAAGCATCAGAAGGGTAAGGCAACATGTCAAAGTACGCCTGCATCAAAGATCGACTTTTGCCAACATATGTTTCCATTTGAATATCAGATGATTTGCGCAAATTCATGAGTTGAGACATGATAGAATATAGTTGTTGGATATCATTATTGTAGAGGTGTTTGGCTTCCTCCCATACGTCATAGCATGTCTGAAAAGAATAAAAAATATCCAAAACAATTGGATCAATAGACTGCCAAAGAATACTCAGAAGTTGATTATCAATCCTTTCCCAATCAGATTTCTCAGCCTTAGGGACAGCATAAGGTTGAACAGTGAGATGACGCTCATGCCCCTGTCCAAAGAACCAGACACGAACAGAGGTGGCCCAATTCTTGTGGTTATCAGAACCCTTTAGTTTGGAAGAGGTAATGGGCCCAACATTAGTGGAGATGATACCTGAGGAAGTTTTAGCAGGAGCAGGAGGAGGAGAATTAACCTCCGAGTGATCAGAGGATGATGCTGCCATTAAAACAAATTATAAATGCAATAGAAAAATTTGCAGAACCAAGTAAATGGAGGCAAACTATAGCCAATCAACCCAAAAGCTTAAGCTGATAGATGAGGGCTTTTTAATGGTGTATAAAATTTCTCTAACACACCCCCTCATACGAGAAACTATTGGGCTTAAAAGGTGGATGATACATTAGGTTCAGCCTACCTGTGTTAATAAATTCCGTAAGAGAAAGTTTGGGGGGGAGGGGGGCAATGAGGATCGAACTCATGTTCACTGAAGTTCTGATACCAACATAAGATTGAATAATTGTGTATTACAACTGTACAAGAGTTCTCTATTTAAAGAGACTAAATGACCAAATGGGCTAAGCCTACAAAATGTGGGACTATTCTATATATACACTGAACTATTTTAACAAATACAACGACAATAACTATAATTATTAGCAAATTACATACCCCCCCCCCCCTTTTTTTTTTCTCTCTCCCTTCAACCAAAATGTCTGATTGCAAAAAAGTCATAGTTTGAAATTGGCAGACAGCATGGGAGAAGGAAGTTGAGTTAAAAGATAATAAATAAATCATATACACAATGATAGGCATAGAACTTGAAGTCCAATCAAATTTTATCAAATTGAATAAAAATATAAGTTTCAAGAACTAAATTTACAAAGGGGTCATAGTTTAGGAATAAATTTATAAATTTTAGCTGAAATTAATTAAGATGCGATCATCACAAATTCAAGAATTTTTTTAAAATATAGCAATCTTGGGATTAGTGCATTATCTCATGTTCAAAGTTTTAACAAAGAAGGAGCCAACAATCGAGTGCATCCAAAGACTACTTGACAAAAGAACAAGACATCAAGTCGTAACCATTTTAACAATTATAAATTCTGAATAGCTCACAAGTGATTTGAGAAATTCATATTTTCAGTGAATTTACTTCCAAAGTATTACTAGCCCAACAAAGTTAACATTGTCAGTAATCTCTAACAATTAACTTTCAATCACTTAACTGACAGATGCAGCAAATTCACATACAATAATCTATATAACAAAACATCAGACCAGCCTTGCCTACAGTTTTAGACAATGACAAGAAACAGACATCATGATATCGCAATTGATAAGTTAACCATACTATGGAAACTACTAAAATTTATGAAAGACATTCATTCCTATGGCAATTGATAAAATAGAGATAAAACAATAGCAACAATAAAAAAAATTAGATACACACACCTTCAGGAGACTGAGTTAGCTTCCGATTTTGTGGAGACGTCATCTCTTTCTTCAATTGCATCAAAATGTCTTCCATTGTGCACTCTCGTTGCCAATTAACAAGCATTGGAAACAAATGTGGCTCAACCTGGTAATTTATTAATTTATAAGTTCAATGCCAATCACACCAGAGTAAGGAAGCCTCCACGAAAAATGTACCTACCACTCCAGTTTCTTGATTGACACAAGTCATGTTAATCCTTGTTTGAAATCTAACAGATGGAGGATTGTCTGGATAATCCTTGCCACAAAGCAATTTCAACTGGTAGATACGTCCTTCATGAACAGTCTGGTAAAATAACAATACGGACAGGAGAAAGAAGCCAAATCAATATACTGTTCAGGTAGACACTAATTTTAGTTTCGCTTAGCAAACATCACGTGTGGAATTAAGAAAAATTAGTGGAGATAAAAGGAAAAACGATTAATATAATGGTAGAGTAAAATAAGGGAAGTGGAGCGAGCAAATGGAATTCAATTATTTGAAAATATTAATTTCTTTTAATTCAATATCAATTATTATAACTATTATTTTTATTATTTCGTTAAAGAAACATTTGCACAGGGTAACTACTGCTGTGAAGCAACAATCAAAGCTTTTTCCCACTAGGTGTACTCAGCTAGATGAATCAAATGACAGCATTGTGTTCTGTCAAAAACAATCCTTCATAGAGGCCATTTTGATCAAAATCCTTTTTAATGGTATCACTTACTGATTTCCTGGTCTTCCTCTAACTCTAATTATTGGGCTATCCTCCATTGGTCTTCTTCTCCCATGGTCAGATAACCCTTATCTAAACCTTTTTGCCAGTATCCCCATCTACTATCACTTGTGTTTTGATATCCCGATGGGAATGGCATGAAAAATAGAGAAAACCACAAGGGATTTCTGCGGTCTAGTGTGGGAAAACAGAGAAAAGATCATTGATAAACTTGTAGTTTATTATGTTTTAAAGGGCTAAAATCACTCTTAAATCTAATCAAAGAGCATGAAAACTTAAGAGTAATTTGATTAAAGTGCCATAACGTGACTTTTTTGAAAAATACTGCAAAATCTGAGTATTTCTTGCTTTTTTGTAGATAAATTGAGCTAATTGGAGCAAGGATGTACTTGGATGAGACAAGGACAATGGGGAGTCAAGGAAGCATGAAAATCATGATGATTCAGAGAGTTTCGAACAAAACAAGCATTTTCATGGAAGTCATGTTTCCAAACATAAGAAAACCTCCCTAAAGCTGTCTTCTGGCCAATTTTTCATACCAAAGATGATGAATTTGGATCTTACGATTTTCATAGAAATTGTAGATCTCTCTTTTATCTTTTGAACGAGACCAAGATCGCGTCAATCGGATGAGTACAACCCAAGTTATGCCCGAAATACGAAAGCGAGTAGTTGCTGCCAGAGCGTGCTATTACTCATTTTTGCTTCTGCCTGAGCGCGCTAGTTACGTACCATGACGTGGCTTGCGAGCTATAGCGCCCGTTTATGACCCAATTAAGGCCCATTACGTAGTTTTTACCCTAAACAAGAATTCTTTCACCTATTTAAGCCATTCTTCAGAGATCTTGACACTAGAGGCACCTAGAAAATCGAGGAAGTGTGTTTGCTTGGATTTTCATGCTTTTGAGAGCCATAAATGAGTCGGAGACAGGATTACACTAGAGATTGTGAAGATTCACCACGCCATCACATCAATGGAGTTTGGGGAAGTTTCCACATCTTCTTGTGTTCTTGTTTTTACCATGACTGGCTAGTCTTTATGCAATCTTTCCTTTTTACCATGTTTCCAATCGAATCTTTATGTTTCTGAACTAGTCTTTATGCAATCTTTCCTTTTTATATTGAATAAAATTTACCTTTTCTTTATGCCTTCTATGAGTTCTTGATCTTATAGATGGAATTAGAAATCGTGTATGACAATAGGAATATTGATATATGAATCGGGATTAGTAATTCATCATTAATTAGTACGAATTTAGGGATAGACATACGAATTGTGCGATCATTATGATTCTTGATTTTAATGCTTAAATCCTTTTAAGAACACAGGGGAACTAGAATTCTTTTAGGGGAGAAAAGGGTTAGAATACCAAGGGATTGGGTTTTAACTAAATTAGATGAATTGATTGACAATATAAAAAGGGCTATCACGTAAGGTTTTTAATTCAGAACATCAAGGGAAGATTGGGAGAAATCGAATCCTTATTTGTGCTTTTCTTGATTGTTAAGAATCCTTATTACTGCATTCTTTATTTTTTTAATTTCACTTTTATTTAATTCTCTTGACCGAATTGTCCAACTTAAGCGAAATAGCAAATTAGTGCTTGAAATCTAATCCTCGTAAGAACAATACTCTTTCTCATCACTTTATTAATAGTGCACCGATGCACTCACCGAAGTAGCAACAATCATCTTGTTATTATAGGGAATATAGGCTTAAGAATGAAGCATATTTAGGGTTTGAGAATTAGATGTCTAAAAACAATGCTTTAGCGGTTAAATGGCTTCGACACTTCCATTATAGACTAATACTGTGGCACCAAGGAATTCAGAGTAGATATGACCTTTGATTAGAATGAATAGGATGCAAACCAAGCATAACAGCTATCCTTGATGGTTCTTGGAAGTTTAATTCCCCAGGGTGCACTTCCTTTATACCACTGATTGCTTTTAGTTTGAATAATGGTAGTTGTATCAAGTTCAGGGCAGACATTTAGGTAGGAAAGTTCCTTTTTCAGAGGCATTTCCTTGCCTGTTTCATCTGTCTACTTAGCACAATCTGCCCATTAGCCACTAATATTCTAGTCAAGAATTCAAGATCATTCCTTAAATCAGGATTTTTGTTTCTGTTACAAGAGGTTTATGAATGGCTTGAGAAAATTGCCATAGCAGCCCCATTCTTTAAAAATAGGATTAACAATAACTAATAAATGGAAACAAGGAAACTACAAATCAAATAAAATAAATATTTGAGCTAATAAAATACACTAGTGTATAATATTTGAACCTTTACTCTGTTTGAGTGGAGAATGCCAGAGCCAGACCATATTAATTTTAATTATTACCATCCTAATGTTCCAATCCATATAATTCACTTGTCTGAAGAACTCAAAAACTACTTTACTATCTGATTATTATTTTGAAAATATTACTAAAAGAAATAAGGAACAGCTCTCACTGAAATTCAGAACAATTTATTTTGTTCTGGAAGCAGTTAGGGGACATTAGCTGGGGATCCTGAAGTGCAAAAAAGAAATAATAAAAGAAAAAGAAATAGTTGTTCTAGAAAATAAAAGAACAGCTTACACCAGGGGGACCGATGATAGTCCCAGTCCAAGACTGCATGTATATATCGTCAACATCATCCATTCCATAGCTAACAGTTCCATCTCCAATTCCCTTCTCACCTCTCTCAAGCTCTTCCAATAACCTGAAATTCCTGGGAACTGCAAGGAACCAAAAATTTAACAAGTGTAAATTTCAAATCAAATTATCAGAGTTCTTTTACAGCCTTTAAAAACTTTTTTAAATAAAATAGTGACAATGACTGATGAAGTAGTCATTCTCCCGCTGCAGCATAATTTAGACTTGTCCAATAAATTGGAGAAATATGGTTTCAGTACATTTATAATTTCACAAAATAAAGAATGCATAAACAGATGATAACACAAGGACTTATACAATGCTGTTACCGGTAGCCAACTTATGAGGATTACAAACAGTGGGAAAAAAAAATCCCTTAGAATTATATTTTATTAACACACTACAATACAGCAACTCAATTATCACGTGTAGCTAGCGAGCACAAGAAAAAAGCATAGCAAGCAAACAGTTACCATTCAAGTTAAAACCCCTTTTTTTCCCTTTTTCATTCCTTTCATCATTAGTTACTGAATTTGGTAATTGTTTTAGGGGAGAGAGAAATTCAACAAAGTAACCATCTCCTCTCCCTATCTCCATCCTTAACAACAATAAATTAAAATTTAATGGTCCAATAGTAAAATATAATCCAAATTTCATATAACCATAGTTCCAATATCAAAAGTTCTTTTAACTCAGCATAAACCCTATCAACCAATTCAAAATTGAAAATAAAAATAAAAACAACCAAAACAAAAAGAATGCAATCAGAAACAGTAGATTATGGCCAGAACAAACAGAAGCCCACGAAAGCTCCACAATTAGGGGACCACAAGATCACAACATGATAGGAAAACAAAAAACTCCACATCCATTTCAGGATGAAAAAAATTGAACAATTGGAAAAGGAAAAAGGAAAAACCAACATACTCACCGACGACGCTTGATCCTTCGGAACCCATTCTGATGGTGATTTCCAAGACTCAAAAGGGTAGGGTTTGGTTTAAGAATCGTTAGAGAGAGAAAACACGAAGTTTCTTTGGGTGATGTTTGTTGTTGCTGTTGGCGTTGGACACCAACTACTGTTTGCAAAGAGGGTTATGTCGTATAAACCATAATTCTAATCATTCTTATAATTATTAAATATTAAATAGTTTTATAAAAAGGTTATAGTTACTATTTTTTTCTTACTATTTGTTACTATCAAATCTTAACCGTTGATTTCCGTCAATCTAACGGTTATAATTTATAACCGTAAATTGACAGAAATAATTATAACCGTTAGATTGACGGAAATCAACGGTTAAGATTTGATAATAACAAGTAGTAAGAAAAAAAGGCAAGTAAGTACTTTTATGCCTTCAAGGTATTCAATATTTTATTTCTCAATCAATTCTTCATTATTCACTACTAAAAAATTAAAAGGATAATATTTTACAATAATACAAAAAAATTAAATATGTTTTGATATGTCGTTAAAGAAATTAATTTTCTTAAATAATAAGTGCGATAATCAATTTTTTTAATCACCTCGATTATTATTATTATATAATAGTGTACAAGAATATCTCACTATCAGTATATTATTTGATGTCCAAGAAATAAAAAGCAACATTTTCTGTCATTGTAAAACTATTATTATCATCGACTTTATGTCCACTTGTAATAATAATAATAAGCTTTTTAAGTTTAAGAATGCATTAAGTATCACAAACGTTAATTTTTGTTTTGTGGACAAAGCATTTAACTCTTCATTTAATGCATTTAATCACGTTAAAAGAAAGTAATAAATTATTTCAAGTTTTTCAATATATTACCGATTTTATATTTTAATTTAAATAATTTATATTTGTTCAGGGTGAAGGTGAACATCAAATACAAGATAATGTAGGTGAACATCGGGATACACCACCCCAAAAGCTAGCTCAAAGGGTGGGAGTGCCCAAAGCCTTATAAACTCCACATTGGTTGCACATACAACCAATGTGGGACTATATATCTCAACACGCCCCCTCTCACGATAGCCTATTGGGCTTGAAGAGTGGACAATGCAACAGGCCCAGCCTACCTGTGCTAAGAAACGCCACAAGAGATAGTGGGGGGCGGCGAGGCTCTGATACCATGTAAAGAACCTTGGGATACACCACCCCAAAAGCTAGCTCAAAGGGTGGGAGTGCCCAAAGCCTTATAAACTCCACATTAGTTGCACATACAACCAATGTGGGACTATATATCTCAACACATGGAGATCCTTGATTTGCCTCCTATTGAGTGCAACCAGTTACTTTTGAGACACCAGATGGGGGTTACTACCCCTGGTCTCACCTTGGCTTTTAGCTTGTCTTTTCTTTTGTTGTAATCTTCCTTTTACTCCAAAAAAAAATAAAAATAGGGAAAGGTTGAATATGGATTGGTCGGTAGTATAAAGCTCTAGGGAGGGGCGTTTGGTACAGGAGAAATTTTTTTTATTCGCGAATCACGATTTTCAGAAATATGATGAGAAGATGAATTTTCTGAGAATGTTACCAAAAAGTTATTTGGTAGACTAAAATATTCCCAAGAATATTGGATTAATTTTCTTGATGCTATGTTTAGTTGTATTAAATTTTCTCTTGTCATAGAAGTTCTAGAATACCACTCCCTAGATGGTATTTTCAAAAAGATTTACACATAATAAAATCTCAGGAAAATCAAATTCTAGGAAAATTTTTAAAAACTTTGTACCAAACGTGGATAAATACTATAACCACTTTCAATTTTTCAAAAATCCTAAAAAAAACCTTATACCAAATCTTGTATTAAAGTGTATGGAATGATGAATGCATAGACTGGGTATGTGTAGAAGAATGACATGTAACTGAGATAACGGAAGAAACTCCTTAATCATATATACGTACTGGGTAGTTTTGCAGGTAATTTGATGGTGTCATACAACGTTAAATGGGAGAAGTACCTACACCCTACTTAAATAAAGAAAGTTTTTGAGACAGAGAAAAAAAAAAAAAAAAAAAGGTTAAAATGGAAAAAAAATATACATTTTAATAAATGGGTGTACCAAGTTCGATATACTCGTAGTATTGAAAAATTTTCTGCTTAATGGTTATGTGATTAAGAGAAGTTGAGAGAGAGAGTGATGAAGTACTGCTTAGTGCATGTCATGTTGTGAGGGTAAGAAATGGGAACCATTTAACTGGTTCGTAACAATATTTGTAATTCTTTTTCTAATATACCTATTAATTGACCAGAATAATTCAATTGAGCATTATGAGACATATTATAAGAGCAAAATGACATCAACTCCTGTCACTTTTAGTGTTAAGATGGTTTTGCCACTAATGTGAGGCCCATTTTCATGATATGTATATTAATTCGATGACCATTTTGGTTGGTGTGTATATGGACAAATTCAACCATATTTATTTTAGCGGCAAATTATCTGAAAAATACTCAACCGAAAATTAATCAACTCTGCAAATAGTATGAATATAATCCCAATATATCATAAATGTAATTTGAATATTATTGGTGGGGGAAAAATGAATATCATTTTCTAATGATATGTTGTGAGATCATTTAATAAAGCTGCCATCTCATGTGAAATTTAAATACTCTCAAGTTCCCTCACATGTATTGATAAACTCGTTAAATTAAATAGTATGACAACACGATCATTGCGTTATAAAATTCTTTTACAAAAACTTGGATGCAATTCCTAAAACCATAATTCAATGCTAATGCAATTCCTTTCTATTACCAGTTCTGAATCATAAATAGGATTTCACTTATCGTATGGTTATCCATCACCAAAAACTTGGATGTTCATTGCCAGAATACCATCCTGCTAGTTCTACATGCGCATTAACGTATTAGTAAAAATTAAGATATTTTATACTTATAGGATATATCAGTAAATTATCATAAAGAATAAGAAACTACAATGCCCAATAGATGGGATCCAAGGAGACTCCAAAAACTTAATTTTAGTTGAGATTCCCCCGCACCCAAACATGAAAACCATACTCTATTCTTCCAATAAACGTTAGGTTCGTTTCCTTTCTTTTGGCTACAATTACACCAAAAAGGTTTGAATCTATGAACACAAACTTCTTCCCCCTATAAGTACATACCAGCACCTGCAACAGCACCACTATCTTCAAAACGACTATTTTGAATTTGAAGCACCGTATCCTCAAGTTTTTAAGCAACTACAATGAAGTGAATATAGCACAAAAGGAACAAGCAAGGCACACAGTTTTCAGACAACAAAATCCAGTATACATGACTCGGGAACCATCGGTAACACAAAATGGGTGAACAAAATAAAACAAAAAACTTTAGCAATCCAGAGCAAACTGTTAATACTATGGAACTAAGTCCTAATAAATCAAGAGTCAAAACAAAGATAACTGATTGGGCAATAAAATGTATAACAAAATCTGATTAACATGGGGTTTTCTTCTGAATCACTGCATACCACAAATGTGGACTCCCAAGAACAAACTCACTTAAGAGGAATAAACCTGGACGAGTGGGTAGCACCAATACCAGGTCTACCATGCTTGACTGGCTTGTATGAAATTGAGAACTCCGCCAGGTAATGGCCAATCATCTCAGGTTTGATTTCAACCTGGTTAAAAGTCTTGCCATTGTATACTCCAATAATGCTGCCAATCATCTCAGGTACAATAATCATATTACGGAGGTGGGTGCGGACTGGTTCTGGCTTCTCACCTGGGGGAGCTTCCCTTTTCTAGAATCAAATAGAGGCTTATTAGACATAAATGAATTCTTATACATTACCTTAAAAGTTGCAGATAATGATAATGCATTCCAAACAGACCAAACTTCACCAGAACATACTTGACATCACAAAAGTGCACAAATTTACAGAAAAGAAAAAAAGAACGAATCATTTTAATAGAAGGATGCCACTAGTAGTTGAATTAAACAATTTTTTAACATTAGAATTCTCGATCTGAGCTTTTATCCAAAGCAGTTAATCTCAATATTTGAGACAGTAAAAATTTTCATATCTAGAGGGCAGTAAACTAGTATGAAAACAAACCATATTTACAGTAGTAAATTTTATCAAAATATATAAGCTCAATAGAAACTGAAACATCCATCATAAATCCACAGAAGTCCAAACACAGAATAACCTTAAGACAAGACCAATATGGAATCTTAGCTAGCTCATACCCAAACAATTGGCATCCTTCCTCTTTCACAACACTACGCTCATCCACAAAATAACAACTAAAATAAACAATTATTCAACTAAACCAATTACATATGAACCAAACTCGTTTTTCCTTAGAACTAGTAATCATCTTTCCAGCCACATCCTGAAGTTTAAGATGTCCCCTAACATAATTGCATTCAATCAGACACCAACAATTCAAAACCGAATTTGATAATTAATATATATAACAACAAGTATATGTTTCATGCAACTCTCACTAACCGATGTTCCAAAATAAAAAACACATTGAAATGAGACTAAACAAGCCTGTACCCATAAGAAACTCTATTAAGAATTACCCTCCCAAATATATTCAGAGCCATTTCAAGACAATTGACTATGTTTAACCACCTTAATTAACATAAAAACCAAAAACCTCTCGAAAAAGTAAAATTGAAGAAAGGCAAAAAAACTTTTAACCCCCCAAAAGATTCGAGTCCTAAATGAATTATCCAGGATTTAACAAGTTCAGTTCTAAATTTCACCCATAAAAACCATAAAAGAGAACAAAAGCTGAGAACAATTACCGCCTTGCGCAGCTTCTTAATGAGGGCCATTGGCTTCCTTGTCAAACCCCTCTGAAACCTGTTACAATACACAACAATCCAACATAAACCAAAAAAAAAACGAAAAAAACCCAATTCAAATTTTACAAAAACACAACACATTACAAAACACTAAGATCAAAAGAAAAAGAAAAAGAAATTCATTACCTTCTACGAGCACGAGCAGAGAAGAGCTTGACAAGCTCATCAGTGGACATGTCAAGAAGTGCATCCAAATCAACGCCCTTGAAACTGAACTTCTTGAACGTTCTCTTCTTCGGCAGTCCAGCAGCAGCAACATCAACATCAACATCTGCCTGCAATGCAAGTTCCTCACAGTCACAAACACAAACACATAGAAGCCAAACCCATAGCCATAGCCATTACCATTGTCATAGGTGGAACTTACCATGGTTGAAGAATCGATCGACAAGAAAACCAAACCCTTTTACGGAAATGAGATGCAGATTCCTGAGCCGCTAGGGTTTTGGTCAAATAGCAACACTTTTGTTAGCTGAATGAATATATAGGGTATTATACTGTAACCCTAGAGTGTTAAATTTACGTTCCGGCCTTGGAGTTTTTCAATATTACCTTACAAATTTAATTTTACATCGACTTGAGAAAAAAAAAAGTTGTTAGTTAATTAAATTCATTTTATATAATATATCTGATTCAAAATAACTGCCCAATGAGGTGTACATAAAATACGCATTTTATATAATATAAAATATAATGATGAAACATAATTATTCAAAAAAAAAAAAGGGAGGACACCCAATAATTTTTTAAGTGGCAAATCCAAATATTCCCCCTCTCACTTTTATAACTCAATTTCCTTATTCTGTATTTTTTGGATGATTGACCGTACTGTCAATTTTAATAGTATAAAATATTTAAATGCCACGCATTCAAAAAAATTTATAAACTGTCACGGCTAGGGGTGATAAATGGGTGCTCGTGAAGACCTGAGCTTACATGCTTAATATTGGTTATTGGAATCAGGCTTAGACTTGTATAAAAGCTCGTTTACTAAAAAGGCATCATGCTCAAATTCAAAAGCTCGGCATTGGAGCCTCCCAGGCTGGCCTAGTATATTAATTTTTATTTATATTTATATTTTTTATACTATTTGTAATAGTCCTCTCTCTCCTCTTAATCCATTTCATCCCTATTTTATTAGTTAAACAGACTTTTTGAATGATTTTGTTCTATATTATGCTGCTTGGATATACATTGAATTTATGAATATTTATGGAATTACTAGTGTTGTTGATTGTATATTCTGTCTGGATAAATTTTTGTTGTCTTATTTTTTCTAACAGGCTAAATCAGGCTTTTATTTTTTGTAAACAAGGCAGGCCATAGGCCGATAATTATATTCGTAACAGGTAACAAGCTTGGTAAGGCCGACACATTTAAACACAGGCTTAACCTTTTAAGACCAAAGCTCGACTCAGCCCGTTAACACCCCTAGTCACGACATCAAAGTCACTAAGTAATGTAGTGGTTCAGCGATCACCAAAGTCGCTACATGATGTAACAGTTCGGCGATCACCAAAATCATTACATGATGCAGAGACTTTGAGTTGATTTTTGACGCATGACATTTTGTTTTTTCAAAGTCATTACATTAGGTAGCGATATTTTTTAGTAAAATATTAAAATATCATTTATCCTAATAATAAAATATTTTTATTAGTGTAGGAATTAAACCATAGGTTAGTTGACATATATTATTTTTCTTATATGAATTAGTTTAGGGAAATTACAGGATAATTAATATTTTAATTTTATATTTAAAATAAAAATGTAAATGAAATTTTAACATTAGTTTGAATATTATTTTTGCATATATTTTATTTACATCTATTTTATTTTGAGACTTGAAATCGTAGAATAAATAATATTTTATTATTTCAATTAGTGTAGGGATTAAACCATACGTTAGTTGACATATATTATTTTTCTTATATGAATTAGTTTTGGTAAATTATAGAATAATTAATATTTTAAAATTGGTTGACATGTATTATTTAAAATTAAAATTATAAAAAAAACCAAAGTAGATACTTTGATGAGAAGAAAAAAAAACAAAGTATTTTATTATTAGGATAAATGATATTTTAATATTTTATTATAAATACTAAAAAACCAAAGTAGCCACATAGTGTAGCTACTTTGGTTAAAAAAAAAAAATGAAGCTGCTACCTGATGTAACGTCTGTGATAGAAAAAAAACTTACCAAAGTCGCTACATCATGTAGGGACTTTGGCTAAACAAAATGCTACATGTCCAAAATCAACCCAAAGTGGTTACACCGTGTAGCGATTTTAGTTGGACAAGCTTATCAAACTTTGCTAACTATTGAAAATGTGCCACGTATTCAGTTTATAGTCGTTGCATTACTTAGCAACTTTGATGTTGTGTCAGTTTGAAAAAAAAATTGGGTGTGTGGCATTCATATATTTTATTTTGATAAAAATGCCAGTACGGTCAATCTCCATTCACGTCAGTTCTTTCATTTTAATTTTTTTAAGTATGGGATAGGATATTGTGACAACCAAATAATGTTACTATTAATGTTACTACCACATCTTAACCGTTGATTTCCGTCAATCAACGGTTATCATTTATTGCGAATTAATAATTAATTAATGAGTTTGATTTGAAAAATGATAACCGTTGATTGACGGAAATCAACGGTTAAGATGTGGTAGTAACATTGGTAATAACATTATTTGGTTGTCACAATATCCTATCCCTATATATATAGAGAAAAATAGTTTTTTCATTTTACATGAGAAAATTTTCTGATGCTACACTCACAATACATGAATGGGTCTTATCTTGATTTTTTTGTCTTCTCACATTTTTGTGGACCCCACCCATGTACTGTGAATGTAGCATAAGAAAATTTTCTCTTGTAAAATGAGAAAATTAATTCCTATATATATATATATATATATATATATATATATATATATATATATATATATATATATGAAAATAATAGCCTCGTATTACCTAAGAAAGCTATCTTTTGTCATACATTCATAGGATTTCATGCCAATTTTTTTTCTTTTTAAATTGTGAACCCCACATATTTGTGTACCCACATGAGATACTATCTTATGTAACATGAGATTAGTAAACCCTATATATATATGGCTCATCTCCGGATGAATCAATTAATATAAAACAATAAATAAACAAAATTACGTAATTTTGGGATAGCCGAAAATAAACTTATCAAATAGTCGGAGAAATAGTTTTTTTCATATATATATATATATATATATATATATATATATATGGGAATTAAACTTTTATGTTACGTAAGATTCCTCGTGTTACACTCACATAAAAAGATGTGCCTCGCTTTTTTTTCTTTTTATAAAAATTGATGAACCTCACTTAATTTATCTCACAACATAAGATAACTTCTCTCCTGCAACATAAGATATATGGGTTCGTTTTTTCTGCAGTTACTGCATATAAGTTATCTGCAGTAAGCCCAATACGACGTCGTTTTGAGGTGGAAATGGTGTTTTTGTAATTTTAATTTATTTCAGGGTTATAATAGTCTTTATATTTATAATTTTTTAAGATTTCAATACAGAAACGACGTCGTTTTGGGAATAAATGCAGATAACTTATCTGCAGTAATTGCAGAAACATTTTTCCCAATATATATATATATATATAGATCGCTTTTCTGTAGTTACTGCAGATACGTTATCTGCAGTAAGCCCATACGACGTCGTTTTTGGCCGGAAATCATGGTGTTTTTGTAATTTTAGTTTATTTCAGAGTTATAATAGTCTTTATATTTATAATTTTTTAAGATTTTAATATCAAAACGATGTCGTTTTGAGAGTAAATACAGATAACTTATCTGCATTAACTGTAGAAACATTTTTTCCATATATATATAAGGATATATTTTTCTTATGTTGTAGAAAAAAATATCTCATGTTGTAGAAATAAAAATATAAGTGGGACCCACAGATAAGTACAGAGAGAAAAAAAAATGGTGGGACCCAACTTCTTTTTGTGTGTGTAGGATAGTTGTTTATCTCATGTAAAATGAGATAAACATATATATATATATATATATATATATATATATATATATAGAGACAGGATCCTTTGACACCGGTGTCAAAAAAAAAGTTTGACACCTCATCTGAGAGCTGTTAGATTAAAAAAAATCAACGATTCTGATTTGTAAGCATGTGACACCATTGATTTTTTTTAATCTAACGGCTCTCAGATGAGGTGTCAAACTTTTCCTTTGACACCGGTGTCAAAGGATCTTGCCTGTATATATATATATATATATATATATATATATATATATATATATATATATATATATATATATATATATTTTCTCATTCTCTTGAAGTTTCTAGTATATAGCTGACTTTGCTAGCTTCCTCAATGTCTGAAACGGGGAAGGTGAAGAGCTCTCTGGATTCAGCCACTTGAGTGTTCGACTACAATCTCCATTGTGATCTGTTTGCATTTCCAGGTACAGTTGAATTCATCTTTCCTCTCGTTCTCGTGTTGCTTAATGGGAATGGTGATTGAAGCTAAGGTTTGGGTTTAGGGGTTATTTTCTTTGCCCACAATCTGTTTGTCGAAATGTTAACTCGAGCCCAAAGTATTGGTTCATTGAAAGATGTTTTAGTTGAGTTGAACAAGTGTTTGGAGTTTTGTCGCACTAATAGGGCCACGAGCCTGAATAAGGGTATAATTATTGAGTAAAACATGAAGTAATTGTAGGAACAGAACGAGCCTGAATAAGGGTATAGTTGCATCACCCTCTGTATGCTGTGTGATGATTAACTTCAGTTTGATTTTGGTAGTGGCATTTTGGACAACAGAACGAGCATTTTGGTCTATAAGTATTTCGTAAATGTTTTTATGTTTATGGTGATGTTATTATGTTACTTTATTGCTTGCAGCTGCGACTACTAAAAAGGGGTTTACAGATGGTCTTCGACAAGTGTGTGTTTTGTGGAAATCATAGTTGTTGTACATGTTGTGAAACTGAGCGACAATTTAACCAAGTAATTTGTGAATTTTTTTTCAGGAAATAAATAAAAAGAATAACGAAAGGCCCTACTCTAGCAGAAGTCCAAATTATACATAATTGGTTGAATCACTGACTTTGTGAAAATCACAAACCAATGAAAAGCTTCAGGCTTCTGGGAGCAGATAGACAACATGAGCTAGTTGAATGCTGATCGTGTTATGATTTTTCTTGGAGAATGATTGCCGATTGCAGACACTGATCCGAACTGAATGAAGACCTGTGCGTAAAAGGGTGCCGAGTCGATTGAATTGGGTCAGAATTATCTGAATCTACTGAACAACCAAATGCCTGAATTTGCCATCTAAACCCAACCTTTTGGAACTTAAAACTGATTTCTCAAAGAGAAAATTGCTGCTGGTAATCGAAGAAAAGTAACCTGTTGGTCCCGGTGTTTGGATTATGGCTGATACTATAGTTACATCTGACAAATCTTCTTCTTCCTCGCTGAACCCTGCTGGAATAATATGCCACGTGTATGTTCATCTTGAAGTTATGATAGTTTCTTTTTACATATAAGATTTTTATTATACTGAGATTAGGATTAAAAATTGTTTCCTTATTTTTGTTTTGTATTCATTTATATATTTTATAATTCTCATCTTTTGGAAGAGGAAAAAAAAATATGTTTTCTTTTAGCTATTCTTATGGGTGAAAGTTACGAGGACTGATGAGCTGATATTTACTCATGTTGTTCGTTAAGTTTTTCAGAGTTTAGCCTTGATAATGAGTCGTGCTGCATGTTATGTCATGTATGCTGGTTCTTTACAACCAAAGTTTTGGGTTTGGGCTGTTAATGAAAAACTGTACTAGTGTTTACTTAGTGTAGTGGTTGAATATAAAACTTTACTCTCACTACTTATTTAAAGAAAATCAGATTACTGTCGAGATAAGTTGTGAGGTTTACCAGGAGATGGATAGTTAACTTCCAGGCAATCTTTTTAGATGTACAAACACTCGTAGCTCTGTCAATGAATATGTTTATGCAGACGAATTTTGATTTTCAATCCCCAATTTTACCATGTATGTTAACTAAGACTAGATATCCTTAAGTTTTGGATCATTGGCTTTGCTTTGAGTTCTATGTCTAGTTGCATTTGCAATTGAAATTAATGGATCTGTTTGATTGTGTTCTGATTTTTTTGTTCTTAAAACTATTTTCTGGAATAGTTATGGAAATAGGTGTTTTCTGTGTTTTTTTTTTTTTTGAAAGTTTAAGGTTCAAACACAAAACAAAAATAACTTAGACATGTTCTCTAAATTTGATTCTAAAACCTAAAAGCAAAAAAAAGTTACAATTTTTAAAAAAAAATTTATACAAAATAGGCCTTATCAAATGAATATTTTTGTTTTGAAAACCAAAAAACTGTTTTTAGAAACAGTATTCAAACAGGGCCAATATTTTTCTTTTGAGATTTTTTTTCTAAAGATTCATTTTTTAGTAATACTGCTGATCAAACTGCTCCCTTTATTCCTTTTCATACGAAGACAGATGTCAGAAGCAATTTTCCCAGTACACATGTCCACGGTGCAATTCGCGATACTGTTCCCTCCAATGTTACAAAGTAAGTAAAGTTACCTATAAGTTGATTTGAGCTGGTTACATAAGATTTTGATAAATATTGTGTTACAAAGCTCTGAGTGTGATCCTACCCCATTTAGTAACTTTTGGATTTTCCATTATGTTATGTGGCACTGGCATGTCAATACTCAATAGTATATATGCTACAAATGTTTTGGTGCAAAACATTTACTGAATGAGGGAGTATGCTTACACTAGTTTAAGTATTTGGGAATTTCCCTTAATGCTTTTGAGGTTTAGCATCATTATGGCTATTTAGAGGATAAATTATTTTTACTTTGGTTTCCGTTGCATTTTGTTTTTCTCTTCTTACACCTGTTGTGTTTAACAAAGTTTGAAGAATGTATTATAATTATTTCAATTTTGACATTGTTTGCCATTTTTAGAAGCTATACTTTGATGAGGCCATCAAGCTAGGGTACTGTTCTAGTAGTGTCACTACCTTGTTTCTGTGCATGTATCTATGTATCTCCATCTGCATTTACTTTGACTACTTTACTTTGTTGAGTGGTACAGATATTCTGACATGGATTTTATTTTAGCAATTGGTTATGTTTTTATTGGATGTGTTTGATTTTGCAATTTTGCTTTTGCTCGCATGCTTTTTCTGTAGATACTCTGAATCTTGTGTTAGCAAAAGGCACTGATTAGGAAAGTACATTTTAGAAGACAAAAGGATTGGCCCAAGGAGCCAATTGGGTCAGCCATTGTTAGTTAAAATGGTAGTTAAAAACTCGTTTTAAAACTGCGTTTTTACGCTTTTTTTTTCATCAAAACGTTTTTATCAAAATTCCAAGCGCTTTTACTTTTTTACGATTTTTTTATTATGATTTTACATTTTACAATTTTTTATCCCCCTTCCGTTTTTAGGTAAAAACTCGATTTTAACTACCTAGGTTAAAATAACTAGAGTTTGTTAGTTAGACCTCTGACTGCAGTAGGAGAGGTAAGATATAAAGAGAGGTAGAGAATGTTAAGGGTGATTTGGTTATTTTGCCAGTTTTTGGAGGGAGAGACCAGGTTCTCGAATTCCTGAGGAAGGTACCACTGAATACCATTCTTACTCTTCTTAACCCTGGATATCATCAAACCATAGTTGGAGGAGTATACTCAATAAAATTGCTACATTTTCTTTCTGCTATTCCCTAATTTTTGATACAGTTCTTAGTTCTATCATCTTGATCCTTGTTTCTTATAAACTACTGTGAATTTTTATTTTTTTTATTTGTTGTATTTTTACAGTCTCATAGTCTTCGCTGTATTGAATCCTTTATGCAAGAAAATGTAGTTCAGGAGCTTCAGCAAATGCAGCCTGATGAACAAACCAAACATAAAATGTTGGACATACTGAAAAGATTTCATTCAGAAGAGGAAATGGATAGCATGGATGAGGATTGTAAGTCATCCATATTTTTACTTTGCATTCAGATCTTCCTGAGTTTTTTCTTTGCAGACTTCTCTGTTTGATATTCATCTATGCTTGAAAACTTACCAGCTTTTGTATCTTTTCCGAAGTAAATTTTTATTTCTTGTAATAATGACATATACAACGACAAACAAGCTTTATCCCAATAGGTGGGGTTGGCTACACTGATCAATCAATGCCATTGGGCTCTATCAAAAACCAAGTTTTTAATGAAACATTTGACTAAACCTTCAAATTGGTCCTTGAAAGATTGCACATGTCATATTAGTCCCTAAGAAAATATCCCAGAGGTCCTTGATAGGTTAACGTCATAGTCCAGGCTTTAAGATTGCTCCATCTGACTTAATGGACATGCCTATGTGGCATGTTAACTTCGCATGCGGCAATAATCGTGCGTGACATGGCTAGTGGAGAATTAAAACATGGCAGGCCAGTCACTCAACGAGTATGCAATACTCAACCGAAATCCCTGAATCCCCAAGCATCCCCTTCTCATTTCTTCTCCATTGCAGTTGCAGAGCTTGTTGATAACAAAGCTTTGGAATGAGTAGTCAACATCATCAATCATACACATACAGGTTTGTCTTGCTTTGTGGCGAGCTTGGCTTCTGGTTTAAGAACTGTGAGACTTCCAATGCCAAATGGTGGGTTGTGTATGGAAGGAGGAGTCTGCACCAGTATCTTCTCCCTCTTTTTTGGAATCATCAGCATTTGGTGGATCCTTCTTCTGACATACCGTAGCATATCATTGATTACAACGCTGTCCAGCAGAAATAAAAAATGCCACATTTTAAGAAATAAAAAATACCGTAGGATATCATTCCACTTTTTAAGAAAAGGAAGGAAGACAGAAGATCCTACTGAATTTCAGAACCTGAATTTAAAAGGATGACAGAGCAGGGTAGCAACAGCACGATGCCGGCTGGGTTGGTTATGGGACAGAAGCACGGGTAGGTTATTTAAAATAAAAATTAGAATTAAGGGTGGGTTGGCAGGTCATTGGGGTGGGTGGGTTACAAACTAAAATGAGAGTGAACATAGAAAGGAGTGAAATGAAAAAGTGTATAGGGTGAGACAAAAGCAGAGCACATAAAGGAGAAGAAAAGTGGTTGGAGATGGTTTGCCGAGCGGGAGAAGAATAGAGATGCCAGGGGTTTTTGCCGCCATACCTAGGCGAGATGCCTACAGAGAGAGGCAAAGAGGGCTAACCGACCAAGATGCAGAGAGAATCTGGAGAGAGGAGATCGAATTAGGGTTTTTCAGAGAGAGGTTTCTTTCACAGGGAGAGGAGATCTAGATTCTAGAGCCTGTTTATTTGTGCTTATTTTTTTATCCTATGAAAAAACACTTCTTTTAATTAAAAAATGTCTGAAAAACTTTAAGATAATTAGGTAAGTTGTTTGAAAAAAAAAGCTATAACCCAGAAAAAATAGTTTTAGTGCTTTTCTCATAAATGAGTATGCTACGATCTAGTTGTAAGGTACGATACTTGGAGTCTCATATCGAAAACATAAGGTTCTAATGTGGGATTTATATAGATTTTGGGCTCTCCTACCTTACAAACTAGCTTTTGGGATGAAACTCTTCCAAAGTTCGTATCAATTGGTATCAGAGCTACCACTATGCCTCCCAATTGCAATCGAGCGGCACGAGTACGACTGGTGACACTGGCATTGCAGTGTTCGCCTAGGGCTAGCTAAAAAACTAGCGCCAAGTTAGGCCAAGTGGGCGCCTGGGCTGCGGAACGTGGTGGGATGTTACGATCTAGTTGTAAGGTGTGGGACTTAGAGTCCCACATCGGAAACATAATATTTTGGTGTGGGGTTTATATAGACTTTGGACTCTTCTATCTTACAAGCTAGCTTTCGGAGTGAGGCTCTCCCAAGATTCGTATCAATTTAACTTCTGAAAAAAGTTATAAAAAAGTGTTTATTTTAAAAGCTTATCCAGATGCAAGCCTAACAAGGTTCCTTTCACAGAATGTTCCTTCCTTATTTCAAGATTTAGTTGCTGAAAAATCCAAAATAACTTCTGCTATTTCAGCCATGGCAGTGTCCCTGGACCATTACATCATGCACATTGTGGCCACCATGTGAAAGCCTCCACGCTATTCTTTGGTTGGTGGTTTATTGAAAATTCGCCGTAGTGCCACCATGGTTGCAGTTAACAATACTGCATATAAAATTTTCTAATTTTCAGGACAATTCCATGATTCCCCATAAGGACCAAAGAGGCTATGTAGAAGCATGATAGATGGAATACAAACTTAGAAAAACACAGCACATACATTGGGAGAGAGTACTATATTTTACATTGGAATAGTGTTAGAAAGATGTTGCCATCTGTTTGCTTTTGCTATTTGATGTAGGACTACTTAAATGCTAGTGTGAATGAGTTTTAATTTTTTGAAGGTGGCAACTCATAGTTGCTGTTTGATGTACAATCAATGGAGCATTGAGTTAATGGGGGCTGTAGAATTACTAAAGCCCAGCATGACTGGTTATTTAATGAATGTGAATAAATTAGCACGTCCCAAGTGCATTTTTTTTTCATTTTGTGTTGATTATTTTAGAAGAGTTGTTGAAGTTGTAATTATTAATTCATGAGCTATCCAAAGTACTACTAAAGAATGGTACTGAAATTCTATCTGATTATTTTCTTAGCTTCTGCAGATTCAACTTTATCCGAGGAGATAATGGAAAAAGTTTTGTCTGGTATGTTCCTATTTAATGCTTATTCTGTATTGCTTATGTCTTGTGAGTACTCTGGCTCTGCACTACCAGTAAAAAAGGTTTATTTCCATCTCACAGCTGGTTAGGGCTGTGTGGAAAACCGTGATTCTGCTATTTATATTAGGAAATATTTTGTATTCTGTAACAGATTGTATCCTAGCTATTTTAGGAAATATTTTGTAATAGATTGCATATCTATAATTCAGCGCACTTTATTGTATTTTTTAGGCAGTCAGGAAATCCCAAAAGTCCTAGATCTGACCTTCGTTTTTCTTCTTTTCTGTTAAGGCTAACTTTGTAAATATATAACCTGTTGGTGTATCATATGAAGTAGAAAATAATATCCGATATTCCTCAGTTTCTAAGAGGCTGATTTGATTTATCTCCCCACAGGAGAAGAAATCAGTTTTGATGATTTATCTCTTGAAGAAAAGAAACAATTTCATAGAGCTATTGCTTGTGGGGAACTGAGCAAGATGATCAAACCATGGGATCCATGGTGGTCGAAGCCTTCTGCCAGAAATATCCGTCTTAGTAAGGAAGGAACTCAACTTGTTCAACCTCTTTCAGAGCAGGAACTGCTAGATGAGGATATTGGAAGTAATGAATCCAGCAACATTCCTCTTGGCCCTGAAACCGCGCTTCCTCCTCTAAGCAGGCTTAGTTCCAAGGAGCCATCACCCCTTCTAATTGTTCATCTAGTTGATATTTTATGCAGCTACTGCTTCACTCTTCGCCTCTACAATGGAGATTGGAGGTCAGATTCCCTAGGGTCAGTAATGGTTGTGTTGAGTGTGTCCTCAGTGTTGGGTCAAGGTGGGCAACCAGAGACTGTATTGGAAGCCCTCTCTCATTGCTTGGAACAGATATGCTCTCCAGCTTACAGACACATGGGGGGGCTGCAATTTGGTTTGGGTGTTATTGATGATGTGATCAGCTTGCTTGCATTGGGAACTCCTGCTTTGGTGTGTGTCCTTTGTGATATGCGTCGGTTGATTCAAGAAGGAGAAAAAGAGGCCAAATCAGAAAAGCCAAGAAAGTCGAGGAGGGATGAGATTAGAAGTACTATTAAGCTGGCAGAAAGGAAGATATATTTCATCATGTGTTGGGTTCATGAGCAGCCAGAGGAAGCTTGGTCTTCATTGGCAGCCATTGTAAGAGCAGAAAAGATATCAGCCATGGAATTTCAAAGGAGTAATAAGGCTGAAAAGTTGAACAATAGAGCAGAAACCAAAGGCAAATGTTTAATTGAGGAGATTTAATGATTTACGTGAACTACTTTCCGCTTACCTGTTAACCCTATTTATTTATCTTAAGAGGGTATATTGACACTTAAGATTGTTATTCTCAAAGTAGTTGTAAATATACTTATATGGAGAAATCTTATTTTCGGCATGTTCTATATGGGTAGCGGAGTAAAGAAAAAGATTTTTAACTCTTGAGGGGTCTTGGAATTCTTGTAGTGCCCTCGGCAAATTTCTTCATAATGTATTTGCTGCGTTATTATTTTGTCCAGGTCCTATACTCTCTGCCTCTGGTATAATTAAAACCCAGCAACTTACTCAAGTACTTGTTTGAGTAGTCCAAATTATGAACTCTTTCAGAATTCTATGGACCTGTGAATCTGTGATGGTGGTAAACCGTGTTTCCAACAAACACTGTCTCCGTTTATATTCAACTTATTTTCGGTTAGAATCATATCTATATCTTAATAGTTGATTTTAGTTAATTAATAAGGGAAAAAAAAGTATTTAACGTTATTTTAGATAATTTTGCTTAATGTTCATTAAAATGTGGTTGTTTTGGAGTTGAAAAATAAAAAAATTAGAATAATAAAAATTATTATAATCTTGAAATAAATTAAAATTATAAAAACATCGTGATTTTTGTCTCAAAACGACATTGTTTTGGTGAACATTAGATAAAGTTATCTAAAATAATTTTAGAAAAAACAAACTCATTAATAATTATTATTTATTGTGAATCATTTATGAAAAAATATTTTCTCTTATTAATGATTCATAGCATAAGTGAATTTCATCTTGAATTTTTTTTTTGAGAAAAAAAATTTCTTTTAAAAAGAAAAAATGTTTCCCATGATTTATTGTGGGAATCAATTATTAAAATATAATTATAAACGATAATAGATGAGAATTGCGTATCTTTCTTGTGTTATACTCTGTTACGAATTACGATACTCTTTTCTTTGTTCTTACAATTCAATCCATGTTCAGTGTCGCTATTCATCCACTTTCTCCTATCAACTCCAACTTCTCCTCTTCCTTCCCAATGTCATCAACAATCACCACTCCCTTGCCGGCAACCGCCGCCGCAGCCACCCCCTACGACCGCGCAAAAGCCGTCAAGGAATTCGATGAATCCAAGGTCGGAGTTAAAGGCCTCATCGACTCCGGCATCCAAACAATCCCCTCTTTCTTCGTTCACCCACCCGAAACCCTATCCGACCTCAAACCCCGACCCGGATCCGAATCCGAACCCCGAACGGAAATACCCACCGTCGACCTCTCCGCCGTGCACAACTCCCGCGCCACCGTGGTGGAACAGATCCGCCGCGCCGCCAGCACGCTGGGGTTCTTCCAGGTGACCAACCACGGCATCCCGCCGGAGCTTCTCCGACGGACGATCGCCGCCGTGAAGGCGTTCCACGAGCAGCCGGAGGAGGCGAGGGCGCGGGTGTACCGTAGGGAAATGGGGACGGGCGTATCGTACATATCCAACGTGGACCTGTTCCAATCAAAGGCTGCCAGCTGGCGGGACACACTGCAGATTAGGCTAGGACCGACCGCAGCGGATCAGAACCAGATCCCCGAGGTGTGCAGGTGCGAGGTGATGGAGTGGGACAAGGAGGTGGTGCGAGTGGGAGAGGTTCTGTTTGGTTTGTTGAGTGAAGGGTTGGGATTGGATGCGGGAAGGTTCACGGAGATGGGTTTTGTGGAAGGGAGGGTGATGGTTGGACACTATTACCCGTTTTGCCCTCAGCCTGATCTAACGGTGGGGCTGAATTCTCATGCGGATCCAGGGGCATTGACGGTATTGCTGCAGGACCATATCGGTGGGTTGCAGGTTAGGACCAAACAGGGTTGGCTCGATGTGAAGCCCCAACCTGAAGCTTTGGTTATTAACATTGGAGATTTACTTCAGGTCACTTATTTTCTCTTTTCTTTTTCTTTTTTTCCTTTTTTAATTTATGATACAATAAAAATAGCGGAAGAATATTGTAACAACCAAGTTGTGTGATTACCATGTTACTACCAATCAATCTCACCGTTAGATCGATTATGTTGATCTAACGGTTATATTTATTTCTATCTTTGTATGATTATGATTCCCATATTTAAAGTGAAAATGAAAAATCATAACCATACAAAAGTGGAAATAAATATAAGATACTAAATTTGGAAAATCATGACCATACAAAAGATGGAAATAAATATAACCGTTGGATCAATGTAATCGATCTAACGGTGAGATTGATTGGTAGTAACTTGATGTGGAAATAAATATAAAGTATTAAATTTGGGAAATCATGACCATACAAAGGATGGAAATAAATATAACGGTTGGATCAATATAATCGATCTAACAATGAGATTGATTTGTAGTAACTTGGTAGTAATACAACTTGGTTGTTACAATATCTTTCTCCATTAAAATATACTTTTCTTTTTTGATTTTCTCTTATAAAAAGATGCATACGAAGGAATTATGGTTAAGAGTAAAGTAGTTTTGGTACTCAAAAAAATTGTAGTGCCTATTTTAATTTCTTAAAAAAAATAAATTAATTTGTGCTCCCTTTAAAATTTAAAATAAATTGAATTAGTCAAAATCATGATTCTCTAAAATTCAAAGAAAATTTATGTTAGTCCTTTAGAAGGATTAACATAAGTCTATTTTGAATTTCAAAATGATCACGAGTCGACTTTTTTTTTCTTCTAAAGAAGTAAGCACCGCAATATTTGTTGGGGACCCAAGTATTTTATGTTAAATTTGTAATTTTACAAGATTGAGGAAATATTATTCAATCCTTCTTTTTGATTTTCAGGTAATTTCTAATGAGGAATATAAGAGTGCTGATCATAGGGTGTTAGCCAATGCTAGTAATGAGCCACGTGTCTCAGTTGCTATATTCCTAAACCCAAGTAACAGGGAGAAAATGTTTGGACCTTTGCCAGAGCTAACATCAGCAGAGAAACCAGCTCTTTATAGGAATTTCACCCTCAATGAATTTATGACCAGGTTCTTCAAGAAAGAGTTGGACGGTAAATCATTGACAAATTTCTTCAGGCTGTGATGATGTACATGGCATCTGTTGCTCGCTGATATCAATGTAAAAGTACATGTGTAAAGACTAAAGAGGTTTGTGTATTGTTGGTATACGGTAATACATTTGTGAAGGAATGTGTTATATATTCAGAGATTAATATTTTTCATATTATAGAATATAATTTTATTTTCTATACACACATAAAAATATGTGAATCTCATGCGTAAAAAATAAAATTATTTCTTACAACATAAGAAACACTAATCTTGTATATTTAATAAAGGCTTGCCTGTTTCTTCCTTCAGTTTATGTAAAATTACTTTACGAAGCCTTGCATTGCTTGCTAATATTGTCTTGTTCCATAATAAAACTTCATCTCACTTCAACTGGATAAAAGAAAAGCCTGGTATATTCATTTTATTTGGTCATAAAAGCCTAAATATAAAATGCAAATTTGTAAAATGGATATGCAGAAAGCCAAATCCTTCAGGCATTCACTATAAATAAAAAGCCTGACATTCTGACTTTTGAGCAGCCTGTCCAACACGACAAAATATAAAGAGCCTCACAAGTATTTAATATATTTTGACATGCGTATGGTCTATAGAGTTCCAAGTTTGATATAAATATCAAAACATATGATCGAAGTCATCTTTTCTGGAATCCTACCTTTCCGTTCTACCATTTCCAAACCATTCGGCCATCTCTTCATCATCGGTACTCTGATTATCCGCAGAACATAACTCATCATCACTTTCACTTTGCCATAACTCATTATCAGTTTCACTTTGCCCTAATTCATTCTTAAATGCTTCTCTCCTTTGTGCTTCAGACAAGTTAGTCTTACCTCCAGCTATAGGAAAATCTATAACTTGAGAAGGATCATTTGATTTATTTAAGCACTTGTGGTTTTCAACTCCATCCTCTACAAATCTCCACATATGTGAATCTCTGTCCCAGTTCTTTCTTTCAGACACCATTGGTGATTTGTCACTACTATCACCCTGATGTCCCACAAATGTAAATCTATTCTTCTGGCGGTCTTCATCTTGTCGCTGAGGTTGAAGAGAAGAGTTTGAAGCATTTGACACCCTAGGTCGTCTATGATCACATTTCAGGCAAACCATGTTTCTTCTGAAATTGATGTAGTTGCACCTACACAAACAGGATTTCAATCATTTCAATACCTAGTAATAGAAAAAAGGCTGCGGTCATTTCTTGCAGAAACTGAACACAATAACAATATATTTAACAAGAACCTACGAGTCACATTCCCACTCTCCTGGATTAAGGTGACGCTTGGGAGGCTTCTCTTTGCATTGTAAACATCTTGTATTCTTTGCAAAATTTAGGAAGTTGCATCTGCAGAAATCAAATTAATGGTCTTAACTAGGAATTAAATACTAGTCATATAAAGCTATATGATATGAACAGCCATTACATATTGCATATCCAATCTCCCTTCTTCAAAGGTAGGAGATTGTTATCCTCCTGCAATTGCTTGATTCTTTCCTCAAATAAGCTGTCACAGCGCAAGCACTTGATATTTCTGGCAAAGTTCATGAAATTGCATCTAGCCAATGAAAGTTAAAAGTGAAAATGTAAACAAGTGCAGGAGAAAATAGTACAAGATTTATTACAAAAAATAATTATTGGATGGAAATTAAGTTACTTGGGGCAAAGCCAGTCGCCTTGCTTCATTGGAACATCTATTTTGCCCTTGTCTTGCAGATTGGGATGGTCTTGTCCGATGACAACCTTTGTGGTGTCTGGAAAATTAGAATTTTCCTTTTCAGTACTGTGCTCTACTATTTCTTTCAGCAGTCTTCTTACAGATTCTTTAACCTTTTTAGTTTGACATGGTTTGTTCTCCGCTGAACCAATAAGGGGGTCAAGCCCATAAGTCAAAATAATACGCATAACATCTACTGTTCTTCCACCTTCATCTTCACGTGCCTTCACAAATGCCCTTTCACAGTCCCCCCTCAAATCGCAGGAGCTGCACACCTGGTTGAAGCACCAGTCCATATAGTTTCTAGTTATTGATTGACGTTAAGGAAAAAATTGTTGGATCTAGAAAAGGAATTTTCGAAGTATATAATAAACAAAAGTAAATGACAACAAAAACTTGGTCATCACTTACATTTCCCTCATCAATGCCTGCATGTGCTCTCAGACGCTTTCCTGAGTTGATCACTTTCCTATCTAAGCTTGGGCATCCAAATGCTACAGTAACTCCTATATCTTTTTGAGACAAGAATCTGAAAGCAAAAGTCATTTGGCAAATAAATTTTGTGCAGATTATGTTCCCTCACAACAAGAAGGAACTTAAAAAAAAATAAAAAATCTTGAGCATAAATTACCATTGCGACTAAAAATATCACTAAATTAAACAAAAAAAGGACCGGGAGGGTTGGGGTGGGGGGGAACTTCATCAACTTAAGTCCATCAGCAAGAAACTCACATTATTCCTTAAATCCACACTAGACATGGTATTTTTAATTTTAATCACCAAGTCTTCTTTTTCCTTATAATTTACAAACTCATGATTGGAAGTGTGATCTCCATCTACAGATATGTAATCTAAAATATTATGCCATTCTCAATGACAGCTAGTAAGGTTAAAATAAATCACCATCTTATTTTTTCTCATAATTGGAACTAACTTTTTAAGACACGGCATAATGCTCTGACTCCTTTATACAGTTTTCTGTATTTGATAGGATGTTTTTAAAAAATATCCATAGCATCAAATATGGAATATAAAGAGATCTGAATCATGCTATGTTCATGTCCACTTGGATGTAGTACTTGAAGTGTTCCTGTCATCGATCAGTCCACATATGTTTGTCACTTTCTTCTGAAACTAACTCAAAAGCATCAAGTATGCCATGCACTTTTCTGCAAGTAAGAACTAATACCCACATCTATTCTAATCCTTACTTACTGCTACAGGCTTTCTTTTTTTCAACTTTTGGTTCTTCAAAGATGAAAGAAACCTAGCATTCCCAAAGAAATTACATCCTCATAGCCTTAAAAATTAGTGATTTTATCCACACAGCATCCTAAACACATATGTTCTTCCCTCCTTGAACCCATACACATATATAGGAGTGAATTCTGAACTAAAAGTCGCATGCCTTCTAACATTGAATCAACTAAAAAATATTAACACGAGGCCTACAAACTTAAAGCTCAAATTGGCACCAGCCAAAATTTTTAAGAATTAGGTGTAATGTAATGATGATGTCGGAGGTTCAATTCACCATTAGACCATCTACTCCCTTTCTGTACCCGGGTTCTTGCACTTCCAATGTATTAATAAAAACAACAACACAAATAATAAAATCAACTGGCTCCATTATTCAGCTGTCAAAGTAAAATCTTCCTTGCTAACTGTATGTTATGCATACTAATGGACCAGATAATTAAGTTATAGCTGGGGTGATCAGCATTGGTGAATCAGATCAGTTTGTCACAACTGACAGCACCAGAATGAAGGCTTGTGATTAAGGGGATTTAAAGCGTGAACAGAAGGGGAAAAAGACGCTAGGCATATACTAAGAATAAGTCCTTTTCCTTCTACACGCCTTCCTCTACTCTCTGTACTTACTTCTTCTACTCTGCTTTCCCTCTCTAGAATTCCTAATTCTATCTCTTCCCTGTAGTTGGATTCACCCTACGAACTTCAGTAATAATACATTTCCTTCCCCATTACAGTTCTTTCAGTTGGTTACCCCATCCATTGTGATTTGTTACTTGAAACTAACATTTCACTGTCACAGAGTTCTAAACTCAAACACCTTGTCTGCATAATAATTCAGAAATTAAACTTCAAAAATAATAATAGTAATAATAGATTTATATTATATAATGCAACCGAATCAAAGAACCCATTTTTCTTTTTACCTTAAAAGATCAAACTGGTCTCTACCGAAGTTGAGGCATGCAGTTCTAATAACATTGGATTCTTTTGCACCCAAATGACCATTCAGAAATGGGTTTCCCTCTGCAAAATCAAAGTATCCTCTGTTGAACAAGCACTTCATGAAGTCGACCCATTCAGGCCAAGGATGCGAAATCTGAATGGCAGGTTGTTGTTGTTGTTGTTCTTCCTTATCCACGAAACTGCAGTGAGATGAATCTTCACTCCTCCATCTCCATCCAGGTTCTTGCACCTCGTTCGAGACCAAAAAGTTTACCTTCCAAGCTGGAGCGAGGGTCCTGCTGAGACTGTGAAACAGTGAAGTGGGTGCATCCAAACTTAAATGACAACGTTTCAAAACGTTTCGGATCATACTATGTTTCATTCACACTTGGAGACTTCAGAGTAAGTCCCCAAATACGATTAAGAGAAATTTGGCGGTGGATTTGGATATATTTGTTCTTGAAAAATTATAACCCTGCTTGCGCCTTCAAGGAACAAAAAATATTAAAGATATTTTTTTGAAGATGGCTCACAAAATGAGGTAAGTTAAAAAATTAAAAAATTATAATAAAAAAAAACTATTATCATCCTGAAATAAATATTATTATAAAAATACATTGATTTTTGTCTCACATTGCTTTGGGCTCAATGTAAATAAGTTATCTATATTTCTGTAAAAAAAGCGAACATTTTTTAAAAATATTATTAGACAAATTGTATCATGCAACAAAAAAAAAATAGATATGTTTCACCTACTTTTTTGTTTGTGCATAGCATATGTAATATGAGAAATAATATTCTCAAATATTAAAAACATTTTTTATTTATTTTTAGGCTACGCAAAATAATTGAGCCAAACCAAATTTTATTTTTTCTGAATCAGTTTTGACAATTTAATTGATTTTATAGTTTAGTTTAAGAATTGAAACGAATTAAAAGAAAATGTTTGAAAGTGGTTCAGATTAAGTTTACATATCTGAACTGATTCTAAACTGACGATAAATCATAAATTGGTTTTGAAATATAATTTGGTTCATAATCAAATAGAAAAAAGTAAAATTGATTCATGTTAAATAAAATAGTTCGGTTCTTTAAACTGAACCGATTTAAACCATTCGAATCGAGAAAAAATTGATTCGGATCCAATCATATCTACCCCTACTTCTTAAGGACTAATGTTTCCATCGGTTCCGAGAACTAATTATGAGCAATATTTACTATTATTTAAAATTAGAGATAAGATCCGTTTACAATTTTTTTTTGCAAATTGCACTAAGTACGACCGGTCGTACACTACATGATTAAAGTATGACTGGTCGTACTTAGTGTAGTTTGTAAGAGTTTGTAAACAAAAAAGTTTGTAAATATAACCTACCCCTTAAAACTATAGTTGTGATTTATTTCTTTTTTGTAATTACCAATCGGTATCTGAAATCCTAATGGCTCATTAATCCGATTTTGGGTTCGAGCCTCTCCGCCCTGTCCCTCATAAATTACAATTCTCAATAATCAAATTCATTATCCTTTTAGGCGGGGGCGGAGCCAGGATTGAAGGGGAGGGGGGCGAAAATTAATTTTTTGTCTTACATAATATCATTATTTTTTGTATCTCTTGACCTCGTAGAAACTCATTTAGATAATTTCTTACCAAAATATTAACATTTAACAACATTTGAAAAACTGAAAAAATATACTATTGATCGGGTCCAACAGACATAAAAAATAGTTTAAAGAAATAATAAAAAAAAAGAATGTCTTAACTAAAACAATGTTTTTAACTACATTTTTAAAAAAAATAAAATAAAAGACTGCAATATAGTTGTCCCAAAAAATTAATCTTTTAAGTTAGAGCAAACTCATTTTTTCTATGAAACCACTACACAAAGAGAAATGCAAATGAAAAGAGAGCAAAAAAGTGGCAAAACAGCCAAAGCTTTCATTAACCAAAACATAGCATATGAAAATAAAAAAGAAAATGCAGAAAAAGTTACACATAACTCATACACATTACATGAACTAGAGGTAGATTTCAACTTGGATATCAAACCAGAACTTTCTAAAGAAACACATTTAACAGTAACAACAGTACTATGTTTGACCTTCAACTGCAATAATTTTTTTTTTAATTTTTTTTGGGTGGGGGAGAGGGGCGGCCGCCCACCCTAGCCTCCCCTGTCTCCGCCCCTGCTTTTAGGCATGTCAAATCCTAAAATCTAACTAGGACGTAACTAAAGCAACAACTCTTGAGTTATGATCATAGTTTTGATTTTAATTTATTAGAGACTAACATTTCGGCATCTAATTTATTTGAGGTTCTTGGGAGATTACTTTTTTTAATAATTATACAAAGGTGGTGTTAAAATTAACTGGATGTCAAAATTAATAGGAGCATGTAGTTAATTTTGTTATCAATATTGTTGAGTACATTATTATTAAGCACTGCTATTAAGTGGATATTATATTAAGTCTTGTGTATAGGCTTACTATAATGAGTAATTTTAGTTCATAATGTTATATATACATTCGGAAAGGACCTTTCCCCTTTTAAACAATAAATAAGAGTGTAGTCGCACTCTTGCGAAATTGACACAGCAACTACTATCGCCCTCATCAAAATCTTGCAGACTTGTGAGTTACCTAAAGATTGGGAATATATCAAATAAGAATTCACATTAATATATTACTCCCTAAAGTCAATATTACATTTATATCGAACAAAATTCATATATAATTAAATCTATCTATTACTTCTAAAGGATTATGATACACCTAACAAATTTCATATAAAATTAACCTAAGAGCACTTAGGGATTAGGATTACATAAATTTTAATTAAATTAATTGATTATTCCATGAAGATTAGAATCATTTCTAATAAATTTAATATAAAACAAGACTATAGTGCCCTAAGCATCGAGTTTACATCAAACAAAAATTCATATAACAAGACTATAGTGCCCTAAGCATCGAGATGCAGTCATAAAAATAAAAATTTGAAATGAGAAGAAAAATAAGAAGGGGAGAAGAGAAATGGAAAAATGTTGAGAATGAGAAGTGGTTTGTTTTGGTTAAGTTAAGCTCCTATTTATAGCTTTAGTTTTGAAATCGAGACACTAACTACAGGTAATATCAATGGTCATCACATTTATTTTAGTTATAAAAATTGAAGGTAAAATCAATGGTCATCACATTTATTTTAGTTATAAAAACTGAAGGTAAAATCAATGGTCATCATAATTATTTTAATTATTATTAATATCTTAATAGTTGCAAAATTAAACAAAAATAATTGTTGGCATTTACTAATTACATGATAACCAACCATAACTGCTGAACGTTACAACTAAGGGTGTACATGACAACCTTCCCGGAATCAATTCTTTTGTAATTTCTGTTCCCGGGAACAGAAATGGATAAGAAACTTGTTTGGTAAAATCAGTTTATTTTTTTGTTCCCGGGCACAAAATGATAAACATTTATCTCTCTCAATCACTCTCCACCTCTACCATCATCACCACCACTATCATCATCCCGACACGATTGTCGCCACCATCGTCGCCGCCACCATCGTACCACTAGTGCCGTCGTCACCACCCCTCACCACCACGATGCCACCGCCCCGCCACCATTACCACCACCTCCACCCATCACTACCACCATGCCACCGTCACCACCACCACAACTACCGCCGCCGCCACCCCCACCACTATCACCACTACCGTCATCAACCATCACCACCATCATCGCAACCACTTCCGTCACCGCCACCATCGCCATCACACGCCACTGCCACCACCCCCATTGCCAACACTACCACCACCACGACGCCACCACTACCATCACCACCACTGTCACCAACCACCACTACCATTGCCGCAACCACTACCGTCACCACCATCGTCACAGCCGTTACCGTCACCACCACCACCATCGCCACCATTAGACCAACGCCACCACTACCATCACCACCCCACCGCCATCGCCACTACCACCACCATGATGCCTTCACAACCACCTCCACCATGCCACTGCTACCATTGTTGTCGCCACTAACCACCATACCCACCACCATTGTCGCAGCCACTGCCGTCACCTCCACCACCACCATCCCCACCACTACCGCCGCTGCCACCATTACCACCACCATAACTGCCGTCACAACCACTACCACCATCTTCACCACGTCACTACCACCACCACTACCGTACCGCCGCCGCCGCCACCACCACAACCACACCATATAGAAAGGAAAGTGGTGATCCGAATTTTTTTTATATTTAATAGGAATTGTTTTTTATTATATTATTTGTTGTGTTATCAAACACAATTTTCATTCTCGGAATAAAATAAAAATATAACATGTTATTAAACACATTTTTTTTCGCAGAAACCGTTCCAAGGCACAGAAATAGAAAATAATTGTTTCTTTTCAGAAACAGTGCTCGGGAATAGAATAGTTGTCATGCACACCCTAAATCTACCATTTGATCCAACTTGCTATACTAAGAAGTCTCTAAGAATACTCCGTAATAGATTCATCATTCTTCATTTTCTGCATCTCGAATTCACGAACTAAATTCAGCACCTACATCCCTCGAATGCTTTCATCTCTTTATATTCAACCTTGAGATAATCCAATATCTCTTTTGTTGACTTCAAAGTCATGATAGGGGTGAAAATGGTGGGAGAAACTGCAGCGAACAAATAATCTTTTGCCTTTGATTTCTTCGCTTTCTTCTCCTTGTGCGCTTTGATTTGTGCCATGGTGGGATTATCTGGAAGTGACAAATTTCATAGTCATCTTCCACTGCTTCCCAAAGATCCAACACCTCCAATTATGTCTCCATGTGTACCTTCCAAATTGGGTAGTTTTCTCCATCAAACACTGGAGGAGCAATTGACGTGAGATTTGCTTTAGTTTCCATGACGCCTCAAAGGAACACATAGATCCCTTAGGAAGAAAGCTATGATACCAGTTTGAAGGTTTAGAGATGAAAAAACTTGAGAAATGAAGTACTAATACGATCAGAGGCGGATCTACGTTGAAGAGAAGGGGGGCAAGTGCTCACCCTTAAAATATGATGCAAAAATACAAAAATATCCTTCTGTTAAAATTCAAGTTTTTTCGATTTAATTTCGTAGTAGGATATTGTAACAACCAATTAGGGTTACTACAAATATTACTACCAATCAATTTCACCGTTAGATCGATTATGTTGATCCAACTGTTATATTTATTTTCATCTTTGTATGATTATGATTCCCCATATTTAATACTTTATATTTATTTTCACCTTTATATGGTTATGATTTTCCATATTTAATACTTTTACATTAAATATGGATATGGGGATCATAACCATACAAATATAGAAATAAAATGTTGGATCAACATAATCGATCTAACGTGAAATTGATTGGTAGTAACCCTAGTTGGTTGTTACGATATCTTACCCCTTTAATTTCCCTCATTCTATTTTATTTTCCAGTGAGTTTTTTTTTCTCCTCCACCTTCATTATCCAAACCTAACAGCAGAGAGTTTGCATCTACATACTGATTCATCTCCTCTCAAATCTCAATCTCCGTTATTGGAAGTTGCAACATTTGCTTCTTCCTCCATCATTAGTCTAGTTGAGTCGCAATCCGTGCAGATCTAGATCTCCATCATTATTCCTCCAACATTTGCTTCTTATAGAGTGCTCACCCTTCATTAATTTTCTGGATCTACCACTGAATACGATAATGATATGTGAAAAATAAAAACGTTACAAAAAAGTGAAAGTATGATAGAAAATGTGAAATTACATACACAAATTGATTCATAACTGCCTCTACTACATAACTACACATTAAAACAGAAAAGAAAACTGCACATTATACTATAATCCTAAACATATAAATAACTAACTCCTAAATAATTAAAAATAATAGTAAACACTAAAATCAGACTGCAGTTCTAAAAACACGAAGTCTAACAAGATGCAATTGTCCCAAAATATAATATTTGTTGGCACATTAAATTTATAGCATACAATTAACTCTATAGTAATAAAACTTAACTCATTGTATTCATTAACCCAAAAAATAGATAAGAATGTATCAGATCTTCATGGGATTGTAAAATACAAAAACCATGCACGATTAAATTTTGGGTGCTACCGTCATAGACTCGTAGTTACACCCGTTCCCCTTCAAAAAAAAAAATTCCAAAAAAAAAATCATAATAGACATATTTGAATATTTTTTGTTTATTGACTTACATAGGTTATGTACCTACAAAACTAATATTATCTCAAATATGCACTATACAAAATTTTTGATTTAATTTATAATTAGAGATATCTGAACCTGAAGTCCCGTATCACAATCATTATATTTTTGTTTAATTTTTTATTGGATAATAATGTGTGATTTATTATTTTTTATATTAAAATATTTGAAATATTTATCATTTTTTAAATATTTGTGTATGTTTATAATTTTCTTAATATAAATTAAAAAATTGCATATAATTATCGAATCATTGCAATTCAATCAGTGATTTTAATGATTGAACTAGTAACCTAATGACTCAGTACTTTGATGTGATCAATTATCGGGCCGATTTTATAAGATTGCATGTGGTATAAAAAATTCCTTATTTTGGAAAGGGTATTCAAAAAGTTCCCACCATGCACATTGTAAGCCACGACTTCTAAAAAGTCAACTAGCTAATTATGACTCAATCATACTAACTTTGAATCAGTAACCAAAAAAGATACTGTTCTTTTTTGCCAGCTCATTGACTCAGCATTGAGCATTAACAAGTAGACTAAGCAATGTAACCCAACACCAAATAATTAATAATTAGTTGGCGAAACCAGACAGAAGCCTCGATCTTATTCTATCTTCATTATTATTTATATCGGGAGTTACTAATTTTATGTTATTTGAGATAGTTCTTTTACGTGTGTGAGATAAATATGTGGAGTCCACACTTTAAAATAAAAAAAAAAAAATGAAAAAAGCTAGTACAAAATTCAATGAGTATATAATATGAGATAACTATCTCTGACGAAATGAGAAAATTCTCATTTATATTCTATTCTATATATTTCTTCGCTTTCAAACATATCCGTCTAGCAACGCGACAACAACGCGTTTCGTATTTTAATATAAAGTTGCTTAGTCTATAGTACCGACACACACGTCCTTTTCCAACGGTTTCACAAGGCACCTTTTGCCCTCTCTTGCTCTACAGTACACCCTTTGTTCTATTGCTTCTCCAACCAATTATTGATCATAATTTCTTATACCTGACCTATTATAATAGATATCCTCTCTTTTTTTCTTGCTTTCTTTGTGGGTTAATTGTTTGTGTTTTTCTTCAAATTTCGTCTCTTCTGAAAGTGAAAAATCAAGTGTTCAAGAGATGGTTTGCTTGGTATCTCGTACGGGAAGGGAGTTGCAGAGATATAACAGTAATGGTGGCCGTCAAGTTGTGGGGTGAGTTTCATTTCAAGGTCCTCCAGCATATTTTTCTGATTGGTTTCATGTTGTGTTTTTCATTTTATATGTGCCAATATTTTACTTGTGTGTTTATATTGATCATTATTGAATTATTTGGTGTCTGGTCACCTTGGAATAAAATTTTAGTTCTCTTATAATACAGAAAAACTATTTGTACTACTAAAGGATATATGCTTATATCTTTTCACCCACTCTATAATTATGTATTTTGAAAAATATGTATTTATAATATTAAAGTTATTTTTTTCTCTCACTCCCTTGAAAAACTTGTCGACTAATGTGGAGAAAAAAAAAAAAAAAACTTTCAAATTTTAATTATGTACTCTCAGAAATACATAATTATAAGGTAGGTGAAAAGACATAAGTTTATATCTTTTAAAAAAATACACACTAAACTCATACATATATTACACCCACTTAAATTATAATACATGAACTTATGTAGCGTAGCTAGAAATGAAGTTGCTAAGACAATGAGTGTAAATACAGTTAGATGAGTCCCATATGTTGGAATTAATATAAGTGGGTATAGTATACACTAGATGAGATGACTAAAATTTTATCCGTGTAGATTGCACTCAAGCTTTTTCAATAATTACACTAAGGTTATATGGGAGAAGATTATATTTATAAACTTTTTGTTTACAAACTCATACAAACTATACTATGTTCTCCCGGAAAAACATTAGGTTAATTACACTGTGTCATCCCGAGAGTATATAATATAATTTGCAAAAATTTGTAAAAAAAAATTTGTAAACAGATCCTTCCCCGATTATATTTGCTTAATTTGTTGATCTTAGTCTTTCTTATATCCAGATCAGATCTTTCATTATTGTACTCATTGCTTGTTGCTTTCGTCAACTCACATTTATTCCAATGTCTGATTTTGCAGATGCATACCATACAGATATAAAGAAGATATTGATGGTAATGTGAGCAATGAATTGGAGGTACTTGTGGTTAGTTCACAAAAAGGTCAAGCATTTATGTTCCCCAAGGTACTTTTGTCACTTCTTGCATAAAAGTTATGGGATATATTTTTCTTATGTTGTAGGAAAAGAATTATCTTATGTTGTAGAAACAAAAGTATAAGTGGGACCCACATGTAAGAGGAGAGAGAGAAAAAAAATGGTGGGACCCAATCCCTTTTTGTGTGTGTAGGAGAGATGTTTATCTCATGTAAAATGAGATAAACATAACCCAAAAGTTATATATCAATTACCATGAAGAAGACTTCTTTTCCCATAATGGTGTCAATTATTTATACAACATTAACATATCCTATTTGTCTGATTCAGGGAGGATGGGAAATTGATGAATCTGTAGAGGAAGCAGCTTGCAGGGAATCCCTTGAAGAAGCAGGAGTAATAGGAATCGTTGAGGTATTGGATATTTTGGAATATTGAGTTGCGTTAGGCACTTTTGACTTCAATATTTAATATAATCTCTCTAGTTATTTCTTCTATAAATGTCAAAAGATTTTAAGCAAAACTGAAAATTTGGTTCTGTTTCATATGGCAGCGTGAATTGGGCCAATGGAGCTTCATTAGCAAAAGACATGGCACATATTATGAAGGGCACATGTTTCCTTTGCTTGTCAAGGAACAACTTGACTTGTGGCCAGAGAAAAATTTAAGGAGAAGAATATGGGTATGTTTAAGAGCTATTATTAATGTGTGTTTTGAATTAGTTTATTTTACTTTCGAAAAAGCTGTTGTATGATCAAAATATTCAAGAAAAAGCTTATGGCTGAAAACCTTGTTTTGGCTGTTGAATAAATTAATTGAAATATGCAGAGTCAATAAATTTAAATTACAGTCGCTTGTTTCACTAATTCTCTATGTAATCACTTTGTGTAGATGAATGTTGATGAAGCACGAGAAGTTTGTCAGCATTGGTGGATGAAGGAAGCATTAGATATATTAGTTAAACGACTCACTCCACATAAAAATGGGAACATATAGCATTGATTTTTGGCTGCAAGTTCATTCTGTTGATAGGAAATTGTCATTATTTCACATCTCTAAAGTTTTATTTTTTGTAGATAACCCATAAGTATTCTTTACGAGAATTAATCTTGTTCGGGCGTTCGGTTTTAAACCCTCCAAAAAATGATACTGAACATGTATCTAAAGTTTAGATAATCAAAAGATTTATAGAGAATTAATTAGGGAAGGAGTTGCAATTTTAATGTAATTGAAGCTCTCTCATTGAAGTTAAAAACAGAGATTTACAAGTTTCCTGTATTTAACTTTTGCAAGCTGAAAATAATTTTTGTATTTATAAATACGTTTTAAGTCATTTATTATGTTTTGCTTATGGTTTACAAGATAGTCAATTAAATTTGTAAACGCTAAATGTGACAGGTGCCAACCAACTCTTATGCAATGATCATGAAGCACGAAACCGTCAATTTATTATAACCCGCACAACTTATATCAATTGTTTTTTCATTATATTGTGTGTAGCAATAGCTATATTTATTTTGAATAAATTGATTCCTTAAAAGATTGTGTTTAGCTTTATTAAGGTTCATTAACATAAGCTTTTTTGGATGTATCATCTACAATAAGTACTCACGAAATATTTTTGTACTATTCGGACGAGCATGTTAAAGTCACTTTTGAACCCCAAATAAGTTGTTTAGGGTCCTTTTTTATGACTTAGAAAATGAAGTTTATGAAAATAGAACATTTTGAAGGTTAGAAATAGAGTGTTCATCAACCGATCCAAACTGATTTAAACCGCGAAAATCGAACCGAAAAACCGATAACCGAATAAACCGAAAACCGAAAAATCGGAAATCGAAAGAAAACCGCAAATTTTAATTGGATTGGATCGGTTTTCGGATGGGTTGATGAAAACCGATCCAATATATTAATTATCCTCTACCTACTTGTCCTTTCTCCAATCATAGCCTAAAAATTTCTAAACTCAAGACCCATTGACTCATCAACTAAACCCAAAAAAAAACTTAATCACGTCTCATCAACTATAGTATTGTTTACTGATATTTTTGTATTTCAATTTTTTTTTTACAAAGCCAATATATAAAAAAGATGTTATTTGCACAATAATCATGAAACTAATTTTAGGATATTCAAAAAACCGAAAACCGATCCAATCCAAACCGAAAAAAATTGAATTGGATTGGATCAGATTTGAAAAAAAATCTAAACCGAATGAATGATTACATGATCAAACCGAAGGGATTGGATCAGATGAGTTTTGCTTTCAAAACCGATCCAATCCAGACTGCGAACACCCCTAGTTAGAAATAACTTTAAGGATAGTTATTTTTATTATAAATTATGACTAAATCATTAGTTCATTACTTAAAAATTAGTCCACTTTATACAGCATAAATGCTTTTCTAAGTGTCTATTTAGAGTTTTTAACTATTGGACCCAAGTAGGGTTCAATTCCAATAGATTCAGTAACCTCACTTACAGAGGGGAACATGGTTTATGGGGTATGTTTTCCTGATTGGGATTTGAATGTTTTGCATGTCCTGTTGGGGAGGGATTGGTTGGGGTGTGTCTAGCCCAAGGCTTTGCAGTGTTCTGTAGTTTTTTATTCCCTGTTGTCTTCCAAAAAAAAGAAAAAAAAAATAACTTCACTTACACAACCATTATAGAAGAGTTTGCCACACTACGAATCAAAACAAACCTCAATTTGTTTCAAATGGCAATCCAATGAACTAGATTGCCGACATTTCAAACGGTTGTCATATATTCATGTCAATCATTCAAACTACTTTTGGACCTCGAACTGAGAATTTTGGGTGAGAAACCCATATTTATTTAACCAAAATATTTTCGGTACTCTCAGACTACCGAATACTTGTACATTATTTATTAAATATAATACACTTTTATAATTATTTTCACTCATGAAATCCATTTCAACAGTTGAAAAACACTCATAATCAATTGTTACCCTCACACGTGATCCAAAGTGGTTCCTGAAACGCACCGTTCAACTTATCCCTATCGTTATCTCCATCAACATTATTAGTAGTAGACGACAACAACAAATCCCCATCGTGCCACGTCGGCGTTCCGTTTTCATAAGCGTTACACGTCAGCCTCCTCAACCCACTCCCATCCAACCTCATCACAAACAAATCCCCAAACGGCTGAAACTGGTTGGGCCACGACACCGGCTCCGCCGTAACGCCGCCGAAGTTGGCCGTGAACAACAACCACTCTCCGTCGCTGCTGAAGCACACATGGTTCAACCTCTCCCTCTCAGCCTCCACACCCTTCGCCACCTCAACCCTCCTCAAACCACTTCCATCAGGCTTCACCACATAAATGCCAAACACCTCAGCATTCCCAGGGTTATGCATGTTCGAAGAAAACGCTATCAGATCACCCTTCGGTGACCAACACGGCATCGTATCGATCCACGCTCCCTCCGTCAACCTCCGTAAACCGCCGTTAAACTCGCCGTTCACGGCGTCAACTATGTATAAATTCTTGTGCCCTGACCTGCCAGACCGAAACACGATGGATTTTCCATCCGGCGAGCACGACGGGAACGCGTTGTTTCCGGTATCGTCTCTGGTGAGGATTTTTAAGCTAAACGGAATCTCTTCCCGGTCGTCGGTGAGATGAACCGGATCGAATTCGATTCGTGCGATTTGAACCGTTTTCGAAACCGACTCGAAAATTGGACCGATGGAGGTGTATATCACGTTCTTCTCCGTGGGGCTCCATGCGTTGTGGAAGCATGTTCGTCCCTTCAGCAATGTCCAGCGCTTAGAGCCGTTGGATCTGATGATCTTGACGCCGCCGTTGGCGTCGAAATCGTGATTGAACGCGATGAAATCTCCGTCGGGAGAGAAGATCGGGAACGAACCGTTCAGTCTCAGTAACCGTAAGTCCCCAACCGGAGACAGCACAGGGTCGAGATGCGGGTACGTGGACTCGCCCTGAGCTGACTCGCCTCTGAATCGGTGGTACCCGAGGTTTTTAGAATCGGGCGAGACGAACGGGTTGTAATGGTGAAAACTCGGGTTTATTAAATCGGTAATTGGTTGGAACGTTTGAGATTCCAGATCAAAAATCTCGATGTGCCGGAAATCTTTCCCTCTTCGGCGAGTGGCCACGGCGATGCGCTTGCCGTCGTGCATGGCTGCGGGGGTGAAGCAGTGCAAACCCGGCGGTGTGACCCGAATAGGTGGGTTTGGAGATCCAGATAGATTCGAATCGGGCAAATCGACCCGAAATATGCTCCACCACCCATCCTCGGCGATTCTGTGAAAGAAGATCGTGGAATCTTGTGACCAAGTTGGCCATCCACCGCGCTCGCTCACCACGATACGATCCTCCTGATTCGAGTCGGCAAACACGACAATTTCCGTTTGGAGATCACGAAAATCGCCACCCCACCGGCGAGACCCGTGGGAAGCGACGGCGATGAACTTCCCGGAATAAGAAATTGCGGGGCTGTAATCCACAACGCCGTGCGGGGTGAGCCTTGTGACGGTTCCGCTGCCGTCGACGGCTGTGGAATAAACCGCACTCCAGCTTTTGAAAATCGGGTCGGGTTGCTCGTGCGTGGAAACAAAGTAGAGCTTCCCGTTCTTGATGGTTGGGCGATCTTGGAAGAGACTATTTGGGACAGAAAACAAAGGTTGGGGTTTATTTCCGGGTCGGGTTATATAGAAATGGGGCGACCCGGTTCGTTCAGAGACAAAGACAACAGTGTGTTCATCGTCAATGAACTGAGCATTGAAGTTAATTGAGATACCGTCGGTGAGGCGGTTGTCTGCGGCGGCGTGAGGCGAAGAGTGGTGGTGGTCGAGGTGTACGGAGAAAACATCGAAACCGTATTGGGGTCTTCCAACGGTGTTGAAGACTATGGTTCCAGATGGTGGCAACATTGGTATTGATCGAGAGTGAGAGTGAGAGTGAGCGTGAGAGTGAGTGTGAGTGAGTGAGAGTATATATAGTGAAATGGATAATGATTTGGTGGTGGGAATGCGGTGGCGCTTCAGCATATGAAACAGTGATACTCTTTTGCGTATGGCGTGACATAGAGTTGTCCACATTTTTCTTCAACTTGGAGGACACGCACTGTCACAATTCTCAGAAGACGTCTTTGATTTGAACTTTGAAGAAGATATTATTGAATAAAGAAACATGAACTCCATAATGTCCATATGTCAGATGGCGCACAAAAAGTTAAATACTTGAATACTTCAAGCCAGGTTATTCAAATTGCAAAGCTAAGATGAGAGGTATAAATTGATTTCTCTATTATTATTATTATTATTATTATATGATTATTGTGTACATACACTACTCTTTGGTTAAGGCTTTATAATTGCGTGATTATTTTTTTTAAAGAAACTAATTCATAAATATCTAGAGAGTATAAAATTTCACATTGATCTAGTAGCCCTTGACGAGATATCTCCATCACATAAACAGAACAAATACATTTTTTGACAGGCGATTTTTTTTTTATTTACTCAATTTTTTGTTATTAACTAAGTTATCATTGTTTGATCAAAATAAATTAATCTAAATAAGGGATGCTTATATTTACAATTTTTTTTTTTATAAACTCTTATAAATTACACTATTTCTGATCGATAATATACTTTTTTGAGAGTTATTAGATATAATATAGTATGTAAAAAAAAAATTTGTTATATAGCCCTACTCATCTAAATATGTACTTATATTTTTCAAAAATATAAATATGTACGTATATTAATAAATAAAAATTAAAGACATTATTTAATAAAGAAACATATAACACATTTTTGGGAAATCTAATCTATATCTATATCTATCTATCTTCTATATACATATAAATGAGAGTTCACTGCTGGAAAGTTTTGCCAAGTGTCACTCCCTGTTTGGAAAATTGAATTTTAATTTTTAAATCGAATAATAGTTGCAGACAAGGCATTGAATGTCCCCCTGCCACTCACATTGGTATCCAAAAAAAAGTCAGCTGTTTTAATTTCTTTTTATGTTGGAATTGGTTATCTCATCTGAAATTCAAAATTTTAAATGGTTTATCAATTAAATTTCGAAATTATGTATTTATTTTGCACAATCTGAAATTCGAAATTTTAAATTCAATAAAAAGAAAACTCTTTTCACGGACATGCATTCACGATCTCTATTCATGGAGATCAATAGAAACAAAAACAAATTTCACAATTGTTGAAGACCTGATCGTCATTCAATTCACAATTTCGTTATGGTTATTTTTTTAAAAATATATATACACAATAATGATATAACAAAGACATTATCTTTGTTATATAATGATTCAAATATCATAACAATCAAGAATCAAGAGAGCTGACATACAAAATAAATTAGATAATCAGGTGTTTTAATTGCTTTTTATGTTGGAGTTGGTCGTCTGATCTGAAATTTAAAATTTGAAATGGTTTAAAATTTTGAATTTAAATATGGATGGTGGGAAAAGAATTTCTTTTAAAAATCAAATTTTAATTTTGTAATTGAATAATTAAATGACCGTTTGTGGTGGCAGACATAAAAGAATAATTAATTAATAAATATGGTTTTGAAATTCGAAATTTTAATTGGATAATCAAGTGTTTTAATTGCTTTTTATGTTGGAATTGGTTGTCTGATCTGAAATTCGAAATTTGAAATGGTTTAGAATTTAGAATTTAAATATGGATGGTGGGAAAATAAATTCTTTTAAAAATCGAATTTTAATCTTTAAATCGAATAATTAAATGACCATTTGTGGTGGCAGACAAGACATTGAATGTCCCACTGCCCATCACATTGATATCCAAAAAGAAATCAACTGATTTAATTGCTTTTTATGTTGGAATGCGTATCTGATCTAAAATTCAAAATTTGAAATGGTTTAAAATTTTGAATTTGAATATGGATGGTGGGAAAAAAATTTCTTTTAAAAATCTAATTTTAATTTTTTAAATCGAATAATTAAATGACCATTTTAAAATTGAATAGTGCATATTCGTGTATAAATAGGTATTTGGAAGCGTCTCTATTTCGTTCTTTTCTTTGTCCTCAAAGGCTTTGAGCCAATATTACCTGATATACGTTTGGTTATGTATTCCAAGTATGATTTTATTAAGGATCTTAATCCTTCTAAGGAGGAGTGGAGGATTAAGGCTAGAGTTGTTAGAAGATGGAAGGTTCCTAATTTTGAGCAAAAAAATTTTGACGACAACGTGGAGATGATTCTGTTAGATGAAAAAGTATTTGTTTTTGTTTTGTTTTTGATATTACTGTTGGTTTGCGGTCCATGTTTTTAAAATGTACTAATCTATGCATGTGTTTTGTAGGGTGGAAGGGTCCACGCTGCTATCAAGGGTTCTTTAAATATGCGTAACAAAATTCATGAAGGAGAAGTTTATTTCATAAAAAAATTTGGAGTTGGTTTGAATAGTGGGAGTTTCAGGCCAACTAAGCATGATTATCGTTTGTCCTTCAACTTGAGGACTGATGTAAAATCCACTATTGATTCTGCTATTCCCACCAATGGATTTGATTTTGTAGACTTTGACATTATAGAGAAAGAGTCTTCTGATTCCCCTTATTTAGTAGGTTTGTAGATCTTGAATTGTCCACTAAGTCATGCTTTTGTTGTTTGTGTGACAATATCATCTGTCTAACCATCCTTAATGTGTAGATGTCATCGGTTTAGTTTCTGGAATAGGGGAAGTTCGTGAGCATATTATCTCCGATAGGAAGACAAAAATGGTTGTCGTGGAGTTTGATAACCTCAGGTATCTATTGGTTATTTGTTATGTGTTATGTTCATTTGATGTAAAATTCTATTTTGTGATTTGTGATAGTTTTGTCATGTGTCACTCCCTGGTGAATTCTGAGTTTTCCTTTCACATTACATGGCACCTGCAAACTTTCCTTTTTGGGTAAATTGAAAAAAGATTTTTCTTTCAAAAATCGAAAATCAATTTTAATTTCTAATAATTTAAAACAAATGTGGTGGCAGACAAAGCATTTAATGCGCCACTTACCTTCACATTGGAATTGGTCATCTCTTTTAATGAGTCAGCTGATTTAAAATTTTGAATTTTGAAATAGAATCACTCACCTGTTTTAATGACTCAGCTATTTTTACATTGGAATTATAATTATTTTAAATATTTAAAAATACGAAAAAAAATGGAAAATTAATTTTTTATTCAATTAAGTTGTGTAAAATTTTGAATTTTGAAATGGAATGACTCACCTGTTTTAATGACTCAGCTATTTTTACATTGGAATTATTAAATATTTTAAAATGCAAAAAAAAACGGAAAATTAAATTTTTATTCAATTAATTTTTTCTATTTTTCTTTTAAAAATCGAAAATCAATTTTAATTTCTAAAAATTTAAAACAAATGTGGTGGCAGACAAAGCATTTAATGTGCCACTAACCTTCACATTGGAATTGGTCATCTGATTTAATGAGTCAGCTGATTTAAAATTTTGAATTTTAAAATGGAATGACTCACCTGTTTTAATGACTCAGCTGTTTTTACATTGGAATTATTAAATATTTTAAATGTTTTTAAATATGAAAAAAAACGGAAAATTAATTTTTTATTCAATTAAGTTATGGTGGCAGACACTTCATTCAATGACCCACTGACCCACTTCTACATTGGAATTGATCAGCTCTTTTAAAATTCAAATCAGCTCTTTTAAAATTTAAATATGCTGATTTCTACATTGGAATACTTCTACATTGGAATTGATCAGCTCTTTTAAAATTCAAATCAGCTCTTTTAAAATTCAAATATGCTGATTTCTACATTGGAATGATTAGCTCTTTTAAAATTCAAATTATGTATTGATTTCAATTTTGAATTTGAAATTGTGATGGTGGGAAAAAAATTGAATTGAATAATAATTTGTGGCAGATAGCAGCTCATTTAATAGACGTAAGCAAAGAAAGGCAGTCAGAGATTAAATGAGCTGCTATCTGCCACAAATTATTATTCAATTCAATTTTTTTCCCACCATCACAATTTCAAATTCAAAATTGAAATCCAAATTTTGAAATCAAAACATAATTTGAATTTTAAAAGAGCTGATCATTCCAATGTAGAAATCAGCATATTTGAATTTTAAAAGAGCTGATTTGAATTTTAAAAGAGCTGATCATTTCCAATGTAGAAGTGGGTCAGTGGGTCATTGAATGAAGTGTCTGCCACCATAACTTAATTGAATAAAAAATTAATTTTCAGTTTTTTTTTCTTATTTTAAAACATTTAAAATATTTAATAATACCAATGTAAAAACAGTTGAGTCATTAAAACAGGTGAGTCATTCCATTTTAAAATTCAAAATTTTAAATCAGCTGACTCATTAAATCAGATGACCAATTCCAATGTGAAGGTTAGTGGCACATTAAATGTTTTGTCTGCCACCACATTTGTTTTAAATTATTAGAAATTAAAATTGATTTTCGATTTTTAAAAGAAAAATCCAAAAAATTAACTGAATAAAAAATTAATTTTCCATTTTTTTGGCATTTTAAAATATTTAAAATATTTAATAATTCCAATGTAAAAACAGCCGAGTCATTAAAACAGGTGAGTCATTCCATTTCAAAATTCAAAATTTTACACCACAACTTAATTGAATAAAAAATTAATTTTTCGTTTTTTTTTCGTATTTTAAAATATTTAAAATAATTAATAATTTCAATGTAAAAATAGCTGAGTCATTAAAACAAGTGAGTGATTCTATTTCAAAATTCAAAATTTTAAATCAGCTGACTCATTAAAGGAGATGACCAATTCCAATGTGAAGGTAAGTGGCGCATTAAATGCTTTGTCTGCCACCACATTTGTTTTAAATTATTAGAAATTAAAATTGATTTTCGATTTTTAAAAGAAAAATCTTTTTTCAATTTACCCCAAAAGGAAAGTTTGCAGGTGCCATGTAATGTGAAAGGAAAACTCAGAATTCACCAGGGAGTGACACATGACAAAACTTTCCAACAAATCACAAAATAGAATTTTACATCAAATGAACATAACACATAACAAATAACCAATAGATACCTGAGGTTATCAAGCTCCACGACAACCATTTTTGTCTTCCTACCGGAGATAATATGCTCACGAACTTCCCCTATTCCAGAAACTAAACCGATGACATCTACACATTAAGGATGGTTAGACAGATGATATTGTCACACAAACAACAAAAGCATGACTTAGTGGACAGTTCAAGATCTACAAACCTACTAAATAAGGGGAATCAGAAGACTCCTTCTCTATAATGTCAAAATCTACAAAATCTAATCCATTGGTGGGAATAGCAGAATCAATACTGGATTTTACATCAGTCCTCAAGTTGAAGGACAAACAATAACCATGCTTAGTTGGCCTAAAACTCCTACTATTCAAACCAACTCCAAATTTTTTTATGAAATAAAATTCTCCTTCGTGAATTTTGTTACGGATATTTAAAGAACCCTTGATAGCAGCATGGACCCTTCCACCCTACAAAACACATGCATAGATTAGTACATTTTAAAAACATGGACCGCAAACCAACAGTAATATAAAAAACAAAACAAAAACAAATACCTTTTCATCTAACAGAATCATCTCTACGTTGTCGTCAAAAATTTTTTGCTGAAAATTAGGAACCTTCCATGTTCTAACAACTCTAGCCTTAATCCTCCACTCCTCCTTAGAAGGATTAAGATCCTTAATAAAATCATACTTGGAATACATAACCAAACGTATATCAGGTAATATTGGCTCAAAGCCTTTGAGGACAAAGAAAAGAATGAAATAGAGACGCTTCCAAATACCTATTTATACACGAATATGCACTATTCGACTTAAAAATGGTCATTTAATTATTCGATTTAAAAAATTAAAATTAGATTTTTAAAAGAAATTTTTTCCCACCATCCATATTCAAATACAAAATTTTAAACCATTTCAAATTTCGAATTTTAGATCAGATGACGCATTCCAACATAAAAAGCAATTAAATCAACTGATTTCTTTTTGGATACCAATGTGATGGGCAGTGGGACATTCAATGTCTTGTCTGCCACCACAAATGGTCATTTAATTATTCGATTTAAAGATTAAAATTTGATTTTTAAAAGAATTTCTTTTCCCACCATCCATATTTAAATTCAAAATTTAAACCATTTCAAATTTCGAATTTCAGATCAGACGACCAATTCCAACATAAAAAAGCAATTAAAACACTTGATTATCCAATTAAAATTTCGAATTTCAAAACCATATTTATTAATTAATTATTCTTTTATGTCTGCCACCACAAACAGTCATTTAATTATTCAATTACAAATTTAAAATTCGATTTTTAAAAGAAATTCTTTTCCCACCATCCATATTTAAATTCAAATTTTTTAACCATTTCAAATTTCGAATTTCAGATCAGACGACCAATTCCAACATAAAAAGCAATTAAAACACCTGATTATCTAATTTATTTTGTCTGCCAGCTCTCTTGATTCTTGATTGGTATGATATTTGAATCATTATATAACAAAGATAATGTCTTTGTTATATCATTATTGTGTATATATTTTTTAAAAAATAACCATAACGAAATTGTGAATTGAATGACGGTCAGGTCTTCAACAATTGTGAAATTTGTTTTTGTTTCTATTGATCTCCATGAATAGAGATCGTGAATGCATGTCCGTGAAAAGAGTTTTCTCTTTATTGAATTTAAAATTTCGAATATCAGATTGTGCAAAATAAATACATAATTTCGAAATTTAATTGATAAACCATTTAAAATTTCAAAAATTCAATATTTAAAAGAATATTGGTATGATAGTTTATCTGATATGATAGTTTTGGTTTTGGGATTTAATTTATTTTGTCTGTCAGCTCTCTTGATTCTTGATTGTTATGATATTTGAATCAAATATATAACAAAGATAATGTCTATATAACAAAGATAATGTCTTTGTTATATCATTATTGTATATATATATATTTTTTAAATAACCATAACGAAATTGTGAATTGAATGACGATCAGGTCTTCAACAATTGTGAAATTTGTTTTTGTTTCTATTGATCTCCATGAATAGAGATCGTGAATGCATGTCAGTGAAAAGAGTTTTCTCTTTATTGAATTTAAAATTTCGAATTTCAGATTGTGCAAAATAAATACATAATTTCGAAATTTAATTGATAAACCATTTAAAATTTCGAATTTCAGATGAGATGACCAATTCCAACATAAAAAGCAATTAAAATAGCTGATTTTTTTTTGGATACCAATGTGATGGGCAGTGGGACATTCAATGCCTTGTCTGCATTCGATTTAAAAATTAAAATTCAATTTTAAAAGAGTCTTTTTTTTCCAATTTACCCAATAAAGAAAGTTTTTTATATAACCAAATTGTAGAATTAACCAGAGAGTGACACTTGGCAAAACTTTCCAGCAGTGAACTCTCCTTTATATATGTATAGATGTTGTTGTGGAACGAAGCTGCTGCGAATCTTCCAATAATTTAATGATTGTATATAATGAAATTTCTTTTTTTTATGATGTTATATCTGTCCATTTTTTGATGGGTAATTGTTAGCCCTATTAACGTTGCATAAAAAAAACAAAAACATTAAAAAATATTGTAAAATAACAAAATTATTTATATTGTAAATAAATTTTAAATTTGGAAATAAATTCAATGGAAAATTATGTGAATAACTTTTTGCGGCAGACAACTCATTCAATGTCCTACTGCATTCTACATTGGAATAACTCAACTCTTCTAAATTTCGAATTTATGTTTAAATTTGAATTTGAATTTTTAACTTTGTAATGATGGAAAACTTTTGGAAATTTTTTTGTGACAGACAGCTCATTTAATGTCCCACTACTTTTTGTTGTTGTATATTATGAGTAAAAAAGACCTCTACTTTTCTTTTGTTGTATATCCCACTATTTTTTTCATGGGTAATTGTTAGCCCTATTAATGTTGCATAAATTTTTTTAAAAAAAAAACATTGTAAAATAAAAAAATTATTTATATTGCAAAATAAATTCGAAATTAATAATAACTCAACTCTTCTAAATTTTGAATTTATGTTTAAATTTGAATTTTTAACTTTGTAATGGTTGGAAAACTTTTGAAATTTTTTTATTATTAGTATACTCATTTAATGTCCCACTACTTTTTTGTTGTTGTATATTATGAGTAAAAATACTTTTACTTTTCTTTTGTTGTATATCTCGCAATTTTTTTATGGGTAATTGTTAGCCCTATTAATATTGCATGAAAAAAAAAAACATTAAAAAAATATTGTAAAATAAAAAAATCATTTATGTTGTAAAAAAAATTCAAAATTTGGAAATAAATGAAATGAAAAATTATGTGAATAATTTTTTGTGGCAGACAACTCATTCAATATCCCACTGCATTCTACATTGGAATTTCCAAATTAATAATAACTCAACTCTTCTAAATTTTGAATTTATGTTTAAATTTGAATTTTGAATTTGAATTTTTAACTTTGTAATGGTGGGAAAACTATTGGAAATTTTTTTGTGGCAGACAACTAATTTGATGTCCCACAACTTTTCTTTTGTTGTATATTATGAGTAAAAAAGACCTCTACTTTTCTTTTGTTATATATGCCACTATTTTTTGCATGGATAATTATTAGCTCTATTAATGCTGCATAAAAAAAACAAAAACATTAAAAAAATATTGTATAATAACAAAATTATTTATATTGTAAAATAAATTCGAAATTTAAAAATAAATTAATTGGAAAATTATGTGAACTTGATATGTGAAAAAAGAGTTCAGTATTTAATATTTATGCAGAGGGAAAAGATATATATAATAAATTTGAATTTAATATAAAATTATAGATTAAACAATAAAATATTTAAAATGATAAAAATACATTTATAGTCGATAAAAATTATTGAAAATTTCAAATTGAAATGAAAAAAATAAAAAATGGCATAATTTATACTTTACAAAAAATAAATTAAAATTTTAACATAAATTTTTTAAATATACATGTATAACCAAATAAAAAAATATACATGTATTTTTTTTAAAAAGTATTTAACATTAATATTTTAAATATACATGTATAACCAATTAAAACAATATACAAAAATCTTAAATTAAAATAGAAAAAAATTATATAAAAATATGTATAATTAATATAAAAAAATTTATATTTTAAATTTAAATAGAAATGACGTCTGTCATTCTGTAAAAAAAAATTATTAAAATTTAAGAGCTATAAAAATGAAAATTTTAATTTAGTACATAAGAAGAAATTAAACATTCATTTTTTTTATTGCAAAAGTGTAATTAACACAAATACTTGCAAAAAATAATTATTTATATAAAATGTTGACAGTTAGAGGTAGAAAACTGGGCTCGGCTCGGAGGGCCGTCCCGCCAATATATTTTTATAATTCAAATGATAATTTATCCTTCTTCTTTTATAGTTAAATTACTAAATCTGATTTCAATTTTTGTAAATACAAATTTGTGAAATTCCAAAGACTAACGACATTAATCTTTGTGAAATTCTACTGTTGAGTTACTCTAGAACTTGCTTTGTTTCTTGATTGAAATAGTCTGTGATATATTTTGTAGAGATGATAGAAGCAGGTTCTTTCTCTAACTAGATGGCCAAATAGTTAATCTTTATTCATATTCCTTAGTTAAGCCCCTTTGAGCCTAGACTTTTTATCCATGAAAAACCCTTGAATGTTAAAAGCCATGTCCCCAATTAAATCCTCACCTTAATAGAAGATTAATTTCAGATTTGAAGAAAGGAGTGGATATAAGTTGTGACTATACAAGCATCCAACGGAAAGAAGTACAAGCAAAAAGGGCAAAGCCCAAGGAAGAAGAAGAAAAAAAATGGTTAGAACAAAGAAGAGCAAGCAAATTGTTCAAAGCTGTATTGTTGGTGTACATAGATGTGTCCCATGGAGGGTGAAGTATATTGATATAGGGGGTGTCCATAGTGACAATGGTAGAGACCAAGGTTCTAATGGAGCTTCCCATGGTGCATAAAGGGGGTGTGTGTGCTCTACCAAATGGCAGAGTGACAGCGTAGGTAGAAGATGGAGAAGCAGAAGCCTCTCTCTCCATGTGTGAGAGGGGTATTTAGAGAGGAGAGTCCTCTCTTGCATGGGGGCTTGAGCAGGTCAGCCCATGAGCTGTCTCATCAAGCTGCTCCCTGTCAGTGGGGCAGCAGTGCAGGATGGGGAATGCCCCAATGGTGAGCCTCTATGGCTTGCCATGGGTGCCCTCTAGAAGGTTCTAGATATGGGCTTTAAGCGATTGGGCCCATCTGGTGAGCCTAAGTGAGTAGTATCCAGAACAGGAGCCCCCCAGCTTGGTAGCTTAAAGGAGTCAAGGTGCCAAGATATATGACAGCTTAGGACGGATACCCATAGTGTGTAGTGTTCTAAGCAGGATATAATGTAACCGATCGATAATACGTCGGCCTTCATGAGTTGTTTATTTGTTGTCGTCGAGTATGAATTGTCTGATTGGCGATGCTTGAGTACTTCAAGAAAATCTTCTATTATGGCTTGCAATTGCGTTGAACTTGTTGTCTTCGAAGATGTGTCTTGTTATTGAGGAAGGTCTTCAAATGTTGTTGAAGTAGTAATAATTTAATTGTAAGAATAAGCTGGCGAGCCCATGTTGAATCAAGTATCCTGTAGATTTAAACAGCTGCAATAAAGAT